TATCCCAACCACCTGGCCCGGCACATGAAGACACACAGTGGCGAGAAGCCCTTTCGCTGTGCCCGCTGTCCCTATGCCTCTGCTCATCTGGATAATCTGAAACGGCACCAGCGCGTCCACACAGGAGAGAAGCCCTACAAGTGCCCCCTCTGCCCCTATGCCTGTGGCAACCTGGCCAACCTCAAGCGTCACGGTCGCATCCACTCTGGGGACAAACCTTTTCGGTGTAGCCTTTGCAACTACAGCTGCAACCAGAGCATGAACCTCAAACGCCACATGCTGCGTCATACAGGCGAGAAGCCCTTCCACTGTGCCACCTGCGCCTACACCACGGGCCACTGGGACAACTACAAACGCCACCAGAAGGTGCATGGGCATGGTGGGGCAGGAGGGTCTGGCCTCTCTGCCTCTGAGGGCTGGGCCTCACCTCATAGCCCTCCCTCCGTTTTGAGCTCTCGGGGTCCTTCAGCCCTGGGTGCCACTGGTAGCCGGGCTCTCCATACAGACTCACCCTGAACTAGGTCCTTCTCCCTCAGGGCCCTATGGACTAGCCCTGACTCTCCTGTATGTTTTATACAGCTGGACCAGAAGCCACCTTTTCTTTCCACCCCCGCTGGCCAGGGGCTCCACACAGACTAACCTAGGCACTATATGGACCAGCCCAAACCCCATGGGCAGGGGCCCATGTGGACCAGGGGGCCTTGCCTTGACTGAAGCACTTCATGAGCTCAGTGAGAAGGGCCTGTATTTACCTCTATTGCTCCCAGGGGCTGTGGAGGAACTGGCTGGGGGACTGCCCAGCCTCCCACCTGTTTATTTAACTTATTTCAGTGCTTTATAATAAAGGAAACACTAACAAAGCCATGTCTATGCTGAGTTGGCAGTGGCAAGCACAGCTCGGCCTCACCCTTAGCACAGCAGTCCATGCTGTGATCGGGGGAGCAGGGGCAGTGAGAGGGAACCAGAGGTAGGCAGCAATCAGGCTGAGTTTAATGACGGGAAGCTGGGCCAGACCATACACAGACCTCTGCCCATCCCCTTGGCCCATGGCCCCAAGAAGCCAGAAGCAGGCTAGGGGGAGCTGTGGTTCCTCCCCAAGGCAGGTAGCCATGGTCCCTTGGACTTTGTGCAAAATACTAAATGCTAGTTTGGCATTGAGGGCCAGCTCTGAAAAGAGAGGGGATAGTCCTTTGTGCAGCCATCCCAGGGGGAAAGGGAAGGTAGGTTAGAAGGCCCCTGGCCGAGAGGAGGAAAGGGGAAGGTAGGAAGGAAAAGAGCCCCCAGCTTGGGGGAATCAGGCACAGGGCAAATTTCTGAACATTCCTCCAGGGTAGAGAGCAGACATCCAAGCACTGGAGATCACAGATCCTCATCTCCAATGCCCTCGAAGGCGAAATTGCCGTGGACATCACTGGCACTGGCATCTGTGCTGGGACTGCCAATCCCTCGCAAGCTCACGGCACTCAGCTTGCTCTGTAACAAAGGCAGGGTGGGGTCAGAGGGCTCAAGCCTCCCTAAGATGCTCTACCAACACAAGCCTCACCAACCCTCATGGGAAACTTACTGAGAGTTTGACTATGGACTCCCGGCTGGCATCAGGTGACTCCTGGGGAAGAGAATGCAGAGGTGTCACAGACCTCACTGGGGGAGGTGAGACAAGACTGGGGGCTGGGGTACTGACCAGGGAGTAATACTTACAAGCAGTGGAGGGGACTTCACTGCTTGCTGGCTGTCTGAGTGTCTCAGGGTGCCCCCCACCCGCCGGCGCAGCATCTGGAGATGGAGACACGATGTGCTGATAAGGGCAGGATCACTCCCTTTGGAATCCCAATCACTTCACCTCCCTCTCAGAAGCCTCACACCTATGACAAAAGGCAGGGAGAGCATAGCCACTCAGCTGCCTGGTCCACGCTTGCTGCTTACCTTCCTGATACTGCCGCCAGATTTCTTCACCATCAGTTCATCTACCATGGACTGCAGGCAGATGCTCATCATGATAGCCTGAGGGCAAGAAGAGAGGTCAGCCTGACTAGAGTGATCATTCTGAGTCCAGCACCCCTAAGACAAGGGCTCCCACTCACATGGAGTCCTGGAAGCCCTAGACTTGGGTATCTAAGAGAGACGGTGCAATGGGCTCCAGAGGAGGCCTGAGGGTGGGCTCACACCTGGGGGCTGGTGATGGTGACCCACTGTAGCCGATCCTTGCTCATGAGGTATTCGAAAGCCAGTTCCAGGCGTACCTCACCCCGGCCCCGGCCTGGGCTGCTTGTGCCTCCGCTGGGCAGTGGCACCTGGGAGAGGAAGGAGAATTAGGCTGAGTTCATTCTGACTAGTCTCCCTCTCGCCTTGACCCACTGCAGCCCATTCCTAAAGCTCAAGGCTTGCCAGGCCCCTATCCTGAAGGCCTCCCTGTCCTATCCCAACTCACAGAGGAGGTGACCCGCCAGCACCGCATGCGGGTGACCCGGAAGGAACCTTCACGGAGTTGCTGGCCAGGAAGGCGGAGCTGGAGGCTGAGTTCACTGTTGCCTGCGCTCACCACCACGGGACAGTCCTTCTCTGGGAAGTCAGCCACACAGGCGTCGAAGCGCAAGTAGCCATAGTGCCGCAGTGTCTGGGCCAGCCGCAGGAACTGAAACCCAGTGACCATGAGGGGCAGGTCAGGAGATGGAGGTAGCCCAGAGAAAGCAACCCCTTGAAGGAGACAGGGAGGCAGGGCTCACCTCCTTCTTAGAGACCTTCTCTTGCAGAGATTTGAGCTGCCGGTGCTGCTCCTTGGTGACCAGGATCCATCCACGCTCAATGTCTGATACTGTCTAGAGTAGAAACAAGGCGTGGGGGGTTTGGTGCTCCCAGTCAGAGGTCCAAGGAAAGTGTCCAGTTACCTCTGTCCAGCCTGACCCCTAGCCCCACACCTGAGCGACCTCTTTACAGTGAGTCCTTGACAATATCAAAGTAGGGATTGTAGAGGTTGTGCCAGGTGCCGTCATAGTATGCTAGAAACTTCCCCATGAACTAGGAGTAAAAACATGAAAGGAGTTTTCTTGGCAGAGTAGGACACCAGAGTCATTTTCAGGGGAAGGGTTCTGAGGCAGCTCCAAGCTCACCTGAGCATAAAGCAGGTTCAGGCCAACCCGGTTCTCCATGACGTCATCATCATAGGCAGAGTCCCAATAACTGTGAGGCCAAGGGGTGGAAAGGGGCTAAGCTGGGGTAAGGCAAGAGGTAGAATGGAAAATAGGGGCAAAACAGGAGCAATCTGGAACTATCAGGCTAATGGTGGTACAGTAGGAGGAAGCTTGGGAGGCCTGCTAGAAACACCCAGCACTACCCCCTTCTCCAGATTATTCTGTCTTGACACATGGTCCAATAATCCAATCCAGCACCCTCTCCCTCCAAGCCCAGCCCTGACCTTTTCCTTAGCACAATCTTATACTCTTGACTTCGAAGACTGGTCACAGACACATAAGGCAGCTCAAACTCTTGCAACTTTCGTACAACTATGGGTTAAAAAAGAAAAAAATGCCATGAGACTCAAGAGGAGGGAATCAAGAGAGAAGCCCTAAGGAAATGCCACATTCTGAGAGGAAGACAGGGAGGCAAATTCACTACTGGAAGCACAAGGGAGCCGTAAAGTCCAAAGAAACTCACAAGAAAAGGCTCCATCCTCTTTTTCTCGAACTAGAAAGAGACTAAAATATCCGATCAAGTCATCTGGAAGATCCAGCTTTGCGGCCACAGCCTGGAGATAGGGAAGGAAGTACAGCTCATCATACTGACTGGTTCCAGTCACCCCCAAGCCTGAGACCCTGGGGTGCAAGAAGAGGAAGGGCAGTGAAGAACAAGTGCCTTACCTCCAGGACATCCTCAGTCTGATCTGAAGTTAGCACACTGACCAGCACTTTCTGCCCGTTGCTGAGCAGCACTTCCAAGGAGACCTCCTCTGTGGGGACTTGCTGTGTCTCCTGGTTGTGAGCGCACATAGGAATAGGAGGCACCACCTTGTTAACATATATCCAGCACCCAGCTCTGACCCATCCCCGACTCTCTATTTCTAGCTCCCTCTGATATCTTTATTCTCAGCTGCTTAATTACAGGCTGGGTTTCCTTGATTTCACTGGTACAGCAGAAGCCCCAATCCATAAAAAAAGGTGCTAGGATGACACTTCTGTAGCCACCTCATTAAAATGATGTGGCCCTACAGGAAAGTCCTTCCCTTAAATCTTGGTCCCACCCAAAGGCTTACCTGTTGTGCCCGACGCAGGAAACTATTGAAGGTCTCACTGCTCCCAAGCAATGGGTCTTGCCGAACTGTGGGGACAAGAGAACAATGTTCCAGTAACATAGGACTCCCTCTTGGCTAACCCTAGTTCTCTTCCTGGTAGGTACCCCCAGACCCCATTTCCTGGGCTGCTGGTGGCCTGTCACATCCCCTAGCTGGCCTCATCTCACTCACTGTTTGCATAAATTCTTCACCTGCCTCACCCTTGGCTGCCATCTAATTGGTCTATAGAAGTAGGAAAATACCAAGGATGTTAATCTAAAGTACATCAGATACAAATTAAGTTCTCTCCACCAATCTAAATTGCTTTAAGACTATTCCGTGTTATATTAGTACTTCTCACAGATGTTAGTGCCCAAATTGCTCTGCTAGTACCCAGAGCATCCTTGAATGCTATTTACTTTTGCTAATTAAGTAACAGCTCAAACAAGAGGCTTCCCAGAATTAATTCAGCACCTTCTAGAGAGCGGCTGTTTTGAGCCTCTCCCCACAGTCCTCAACACAGTCAGCCTGAAGTTCCCTACAACCACTCACCAGCTTGCATGTATTTCTCTAACTGCTCTCTCCTCTGTTCTACCTCAGCAGGTGTCAGAGAGAAAAGCTTCTTTGGTGGAAATGCAGGAAGCACATTGGCCCCATACTCCTTCCGAAGCTACGTGGAGAAAGAGATACAACCTTTCACATAAACATAGCAAGTGAAAAGAGGCAATCTACACTCACAATGTTCTCTTGGGCTCCCCTTCCCTTCCCTCAGTCCCTGCTCCCCTGATTACCCTGGTCATCTGGGAAATGATTCCTTTGGCAGAGGTAGCATCCCAAGGGAGCCATTCCTCTGTCCCAGATATAAGTTTTTTCCTATCTTACTGTGTACAAGTCAGTCCATTCACAGTGTGGGGAAGGTTTGTATGGGGCCAGGGCCTAGAGAACCACTTGACTATCTAGCAAGACTGTGTTCATTGAACCCTCACAGGCAACAAAGGACTTTATAAGGAAAATTTATATACACGAACAGTTAAGTAATAGTTAAATATGTTCACAAAGTATCTTAGGACTTAAAGGGACTTTGCGGATCAACCAGTCCATTTTCAGTTGTAGAAACTGAGCCCCAAAGAAATTGGGTAATTTGACCAGGTCACAATCTGGTGAGGAGAACAAACATTGCATCACAGATACATAAGGATAACTGCAACAGCTACACGCACTGAGAGGATCCAAAGAGCACAGAAAGAAATTGGTGAATGGTTTGTATGAGCAAGGAAAAGAATTTCAAGTTGCAGCTCAGATGACAGAAGGAATGTACTTTGGCAGCAGGGGGCGAGGGTGGGTCGGTTTTTCCATGCACAGGCAAAGGCTAAAGTAGGACTGGGGACAGAGAAGCAGGAAGGAGGACGTGAGCATAGGAAGGAGCAGTTAAGAGCAGCAGACAATAAGCTTCTTAGGCAGTTCCCCGGAAATGTCAGCCGATAAGATAAAGCACCAGATCCTCCCCCGTGGCAATGATTAAAGACAAACTACAGCCGACGGGAAAGCGACCAGGGGGGAAATGGAGACACTGATGCCCAGGTGTAGAAAAGGGCTTGATGCTGCCTCAAGACAGGGGTGCTAGTCCCACCTGCTCATGCAGCCCCAGGAGCTGGCTGTAGCGCACCCGACAGTGCAGGACTCCATTCACGTGAATGTTATAGGCCTGAGGACACAAAAGCAGGTAAGCATTTTAGGGTTGCGCGCTCTGGGAGACCCCTTTGAGAACCTTGGCCGGAAGTTGCCTCCGCACAGCTCCGCCTGAGTAACGCGCCGAGATCTTCCTAGGGTTTGTCAGTATGTTTTCCCCAGGGCCAGGTCCCAAAGCACAAGGACCAGGCCGGGTCAAACTCGTGCGCTCGTGCCGCAGTCTCCCTCCCGAAGAGGCCAGTGACGCCCACCAAAGTAGCCGCAGCCCAACCGGGGGAGGCGACGCGGCCGAACAAAGGATCTACAGGAGCTGGGGCAACCTGTGGACGAATCTGAAACGTGATATCATCTCCCAGTAAGGCCGTCGGGAGTCGGCGGCCTGGGACAAGGCCCGAAGGGTGGCGGCCAGGCCTCGGGGGCCGCTCGGAGAGGGCTCCGGCCCGTTATCCCCGCCCCTGCCCGGCCCTGCTCCGGCCGCTCCTCACCACGTAGGCGGAGCCGCCGCTGTCCCCGCTGCGGGACTCGGTTTCAGGAATGGAAAAGTGCATGTTCCCTGCGGCAGGGCCCGGTCGGGCTCCGGACTCTGAGGGCCGCAGCGGCTTGGCACGCTCGCCTCCGCTGCTCAGCGCGTCCCCGCTGCCTCACTCGCCATTTTGGCGAGGGCCTGAGATTGGAGGTGGGAAGGGCGGTGGGACGTCCGCTCTGGGGCGCAGCTTCCCCGGCATGCTGGGAACCGTAGTCTAAAGGGCGAGAGGAAACTGCCGGGACTGGAGCCCAAAGTTGAGATGGCCCTTATTGCGACCCGTAGCCGGGGGCGGTGCCCCGGTGCACGTCGGGTATGGTAGTCCGCTTGGGGCTGCACGCCGAGGGTGTAGGCCCAGGTGGCGCTGTAGTTCCAGTGTTAGCGGCGGGCGGAGCCTAGGACAGAGGGTGATGGCTGCCGTAGCTGTGGCTGTTCGCGAGGGTGAGTGAAGGGCCCGGGCGCGCAAACAGGTACGCGAGCCGACGGGCTCCAGACGGCTACTGCTGGGCCCTGAGCCTTTCTGTGCCCTGTGGTTCCGTTCCGGTGCCACGCCAGACTCTGGTGTGCACTGCCTCGGGCGCAGCCCTGCGCCCCGTACCGGCTGGTCACTGTGAGAAGGGTGGGTGCCCCCTCCTTCCTCCCTCCCCCGCCTTCCCTTTGATCCTGCCGCGCACTGCGTCCCCACGCGGATCTCGGGCTCGCCTCTTGCCTCGCGGCGGAGCCCTAGTCATGCCGACCCAGCAGCCAGCTACGCCGACTACGAGTCCCCCCAAACCCTCCTGGAGCCTCTCTGGCTCACTTTGTGCCCTGTTTTCTAATGCAGACTCGGGATCTGGGATGAAGGCGGAGCTTTCTTCTCGGCCTGGGGTAAGTGAGGGTGCCCTCTGAAGCCGCCTGTCACGCTCTACGCAGAAGGCTGTGTCAGCTTCATTCCGCCCCAATCTTCACCTGTGTTTCACTTTATTTCTCAGTAAAGCTAGGAGATTTTACAGTTCTTTCAGCCCTAACGGTTTGTGACTCTGACCCTGGAGGAGAAGCTTTCGTTCCTGTAGGATGTAAGCTTGTAACAGGTAGCTGGTGAGAGTTAGGGAGGATTAGGGACTTTGTGGGAATCTTGTAAGCACCCAGTAGTGTTTATTCACCTTTGGAATTGTTGGGGGAAGAGCAGTATTCTGTGTCTGTGTCTTAGACAGGGGGGAGGGAGATGACCCAAGAAGAGAAGCTGCAGCTTCGGAAGGAAAAGAAACAGCAGAAGAAGAAACGGAAGGAGGAAAAGGGGGCAGAACCAGAAACTGGCTCTGCTGTATCTGCAGCCCAATGTCAAGGTGCGGGGGCTTTTTTTTACAAGGCTGGGGCGTGGAGCTGGTAGAGGGATGTGGTGGGAGAGAAGAGGGGGAGACAGGACAAAGTTGGTTTGAGCAAGTGAAGAGCGAAGAAGTTTAGATAAGCAGGGAGAGATGCTTTCGCTGGGGTGTAGATATTACCTGCCTAGGGCTTGGGCATCTCTTCCTTCTACTTTTAGTAGGCCCAACCAAAGAACTGCTGGGACCAGGCAGTCAGTTGGGCACTGCTGGGGAGAAAGTTCCAGCTGGTCGGAGTAAAGCTGAACTTCGTGCTGAACGGCGGGCCAAGCAGGAGGCTGAGCGTGCCCTGAAACAGGCAAGAAAAGGGGAACAAGGAGGGCTCCCTCCTCCAGCCCACCCCAGCACAGCTGGAGAAACCCCCTCAGGTATCTTCCCTTCATTTCAAGATCTCTCTTGATTCTGATTCTCATGTTAGCTCAGGCTTCCCATGGTAAAATAGCTCTCCCCTCCCATTCTTCACCTTGGTTCCCAGCGTTCCCAATTCTCCCCTCAACCTCATCCTATCCCTATTTCTCCTTCTACTCTTTTCTCCCCTGTTCTTCCCCTCTCTTTGTCCTATTTTTCTTGATGTTCCTTATGCCCTAAAAGCAAATTTCTCATTATCACCTACAGTGTCTTGAAAACGTGATCATTTTCTTTTAGGAGTTAAGCATGTCCCTGAGCACACTCAGGTTGATGACCCCACACTTCTTCGAAGACTTGTTAAAAAACCAGAGCGACAACAGGTAGGAAGTAGGTTTGGTGCGTGGCCAGAAAAAGCCTAGAGAGATGGGATAGAGGGAGGAGAGGTGCTCTGGGCAAAGTGAGACCCTGGAGAAAGATGGGTATTTGAGTCAAAGTGGTCTCACTTTTTACTTCCTTTCCAGCTTTATCCCATAAGTTTTAATCTCTGGGCCACTGGTCCTGTTCCTCTGTTTTGTCAAGGTTCCTACACGAAAGGACTATGGATCCAAAGTCAGTCTCTTCTCCCATCTACCCCAGTACAGCAGACACAACTCTCTGACCCAGTATATGAGGTAGGATCGTATAAAATTGTCATAATTTTTAAGTCTAAGGAGTTTTAGTAACTTTTTGTTGAAAGTGACTGGAAATTTGAGATTGGATCTTTGGGAAGAAGCATGAACACAAGGCAAAACTCTAGAGGCAATGGGGGTGTCTGGTGCTAGTGAAGGAAGTTCCTTTTCATCAGGGGCAGGTGGGCAGTAGGTGCTCAAGCTCCCTTGCAAAATGTGTGTGACACCGCCATCCCATCAGCATCCCATCCTCTGTGATCCACCCAGCCATGGTGCGACTCGGCCTGCAGTACTCCCAGGGCCTGATCAGTGGCTCCAATGCCCGGTGTATTGCCCTGCTTCGTGCCTTGCAGCAGGTATGCCCCATCCTGTTCCCTCTTATGACCCAACCCCATCTTCCCCAACACTACCCCAGCTTCTCTCACCAGAGTAATCTCTGGGGGAGAGAGGCAGTGACTCCACCCTCAGAACACTTTCCTCAGTGAAGCTTACCCTATCCGCCTTTCAGAGACTTTTATTAGGGAGCATTTTGCTGATCAACTTGTGTACCCCATAGGTGATTCAGGATTACACAACACCTCCCAATGAAGAACTCTCAAGAGACCTAGTGAATAAACTAAAGCCCTACTTCAGGTAAGGACAACCACTTCAAGTCCACTCCCACCTCGCCCAGTCCTTTTCTTTTGCTCTTCTACATCTATTTTTATTGTTCTGTTCTCTGTCTTCTTGTTAAAGAAATCCTTTAAAATGTGAAAGCTTTGTAAGTGGTAAAGAGTCATGCAAATGTTGTTACAGTTTCCTGACCCAGTGCCGTCCCCTGTCAGCAAGCATGTACAATGCTATCAAGTTCCTTAACAAGGAGATCACCAGTGTGAGCGGCTCCGAGCGGGAAGAGGAGGTGATGAGTATGAGGGATGAGCAAGGCATGCACCTGGGAGTAGAGCGGAGAAACGTGTTCAGGGCTCCCAGGAGGGGCAAGGCGGCTGTTCTGTCCTAGTCAAGGATTAAGGAAGTGATTGAGCTGTCTGACTTGTGCCACCTTTGGGTGCCCTTTGAGCCCATCATTACACACATATTCAGACATCTGGCATGATAGTCAGAGGAAGAAATGTGTCCATTTCTTGTTCCCTAAGCATCTCACTCCATTTAGGCCAAGTCACAACTTCGAGCAGCCATTGATCGGTATGTGCAAGAGAAGATTGTGCTTGCATCTCAGGCAATTTCACGCTTTGCTTATAAGAAGATCAGTAATGGAGATGTGATCCTGGTATATGGATGGTATGGTCCAGACCCTATGACTGAGAAAATTGGGGAGTGAAATGATCTGAAGAAGGGACTACCATTTTGCCCTTTAGAAATGAGCTGGCCATCAGTTAGTGACATTTATAACTGAATCCTCCTCTCCATTTGCTCCAGCTCATCTCTGGTATCACGAATTCTTCAGGAGGCTTGGACTAAGGGCCGGCGGTTTCGGGTGGTAGTGGTGGATAGCCGGCCACGGCTGGAGGGAAGACACACGCTACGTTCTCTGGTCCGTGCTGGGGTCCCTGCCTCCTACCTGCTGATTCCTGCAGCCTCCTATGTGCTCCCAGAGGTGAGGGCAGAGGACAGGGACTCCAAAATTGAAGTAAGAGGGTGTAGTAGTATAGACGTAATCCCACCTTCCCAAGGTTACAATTACTTAGAAATGTTAGGATTGTACATCCTGTTTATTTTTAATAGGAAAAAAATATCTAAGCGTGCTATTGCCCAGTCTAGCTATTGCAAGAACATTATATTAAACTGGCAGCCACCAAGAGGGAACATGACAAAAGTAACTTCAGAGTTTAGTTTTCCTTTGGGTGGTATGGTGGGTCAACGGTCAGGTGTTTTCCAAGAAGAGCCATCATTAAGATTTGTTACTCATTGTCTTAATATTGTTGTCGTGGGCAGGAGTGGGGAACTTTATTTTGCATTGATCACATATCACATTTTCTCTCCCTTTCCACTCTCCAAAATAGGTTTCTAAGGTGCTATTGGGAGCTCACGCACTCCTGGCCAACGGGTCTGTGATGTCACGGGTAGGGACGGCACAGCTAGCTCTGGTGGCACGAGCCCATAATGTGCCAGTGCTGGTCTGCTGTGAGACATACAAGTTCTGTGAGCGTGTGCAGACTGATGCCTTTGTCTCTAATGAGCTAGGTAAGGAGCCTAGAAGGGCATAAGAGAAGGTTCCAGGGACCTGAGAAGATTTGGGAGGGACAGGCAAGGTTGAACTACAACTTGTTTTCTAAAAGTACCTAAATGGATACACCTCCCATTGCAGATGACCCTGACGATCTGCTGTGTGAGCGAGGAGAACGTGTGGCCCTGGCTAACTGGCAGAACCACTCGTCCCTACGGTTGTTGAATCTGGTCTATGATGTGACTCCCCCAGAGCTTGTGGATCTGGTGATCACAGAGCTGGGAATGATCCCTTGCAGTTCTGTACCTGTTGTCCTTCGAGTCAAGAGTAGTGACCAGTGAGTGGGGGAACACAGGGTCAATAAAGGACACACTCCCTACACTCAGCAACTCTGCTGCCTTTGTATCTCTTTTAGCATCACCACCACTTAGATTAGGAGTCCAGACTCTCCAACCCCTCTTAGCACATTCTGCCAACCTCGACCTTTGTGGAGACCCTCTCAAGTGACTAGCTCCATACCAGTGCTTTGGGGCCAAAGTGAAGGTCAGTATGGAAGCCAAAAACTATCCAAGTCATCAAGCATTTATTGAGCATCTATGTGCCAGACACTGAGCTAGATATGAGGAGGACCCTTAAGGACAAATGAGTCCTATCTTTAGTATTTTAGTATTATGATTGTATTAATATTTATATTAAATTGATATATTAATATTTAAATAATTATATATTAATATATGAATGTTTAGTATCCTTAGTATTAAGTACTTACTGTGTGTCAGAAACTGTTCTAATCTCTTTTTTATCCATTTAGGAAGATTAATACAACTCTATGAAGTGATATTTTACAGATGAGAAAACAGAGGCACAGAGAGGTTATCTGCCAAGGCAACACAGCTAAGGCACAGAGAGGTTAAGTTACCTGCCCAAGGTAACGTGGCCACTAACGAAACCAGCAGGTGATCTCAGGCATTCTGGATCCAGAGACTGTGCCCTTAACTTTTATGCTATCTGCCATTAAGGAGCATGCCTCATGGCAAAGAAAGACAGACAATATCTACAGGATGAGATAAATTCTACTAGTAGTATGAACAGAGTTTCTTTGAAGCAACCAAGGATAATGCCAGGAGATTTAGTAAGGTTGGAGAAGATTTCACAGGTAACATCTGACCTAGTCTTTGAAGGATAAGATGTTTCCCAGTGGGAAAAGGATGGGAAGGCAGATCAGCAGAGGAAATAGCTTGAACACAAAGACAGAACAGACCTTAAAATAAGTAGCCAATCCCAAAGTGTCAAGTAGCGTGGTGAGACTAAAACCAAGGCTTATGTGGAGAGTGAGTGATAAAGCTGCAAAGGTAGGTCAAGTTGGGGCCAGATTGTGAGTCTACCCATTTTGGTTAGCCTAAAAAAAGTCATCCGTTGTGTGTGTATTTTTTTTTTTTTTTTTTGAGGAAGATTAGCCTTGAGCTAACTACTGCCAATCCTCCTCTTTTTGCCGAGGAAGACTGGCCTTGAGCTAACATCCATGCCCATCTTCCTTTACTTTATACATGGGATGCCTACCACAGCATGGCTTTTGCCAAGCAGTGCCATGTCTACACCCGGGATCTGAACCGATGAACCCCGGGCCACTGAGAAGCAGAATGTGCGAACTTAACCGCTGTGCCACCAGGCCAGCACCCTGTGTGTGTATTTTATTGAAAAATTTCAAGCAGCACAGAAGTAGAGTGAACTATACAAAGAATTGCCATCAACAGATGCAATAATTATCAAGATTTGTCACGTTTGCTTTCTTTTCATTTCTCTTTTTTTCTTGGCTGAAATTACTCTAGAGCAAATCCCAGACATTATATGATTTTACTCCTACAAACTTCAGTGTGTATCTCTAAAAAATCTGGAAATTTACAATATTATTAGACTTACTGAATTTTTTCTTAGTGTTGTCTAATCTATAATCGAATTTCCTTGAGTGTCTCAAAAATGGTTTTTTTACAGTTGGTTTGTTTAAATCAGGAGCCAAACAAATCTACACATTATATTTGGTTATTATGTCAAGTTTCTTGTAATCAAAAGCAGTCTCCCCAGCCTCCCTTCTTTTTTCATGACATTGACTTGTTCCAGAAACCAGCTTTTTATTGTGTTTTATATTGTATTTTATTGTGCCTCATATCAGGAGGCAAATAATGTTTGGTTGGTCCATTTTTGGTGTTGAATGGGTTCAGTTTTAGTTTTAAATTTTAAAGTTTCCCAACAAGCTTTCATTTTAGTGGTACTATCCACTGGTGCTTGTTGCCTGAATTATTTCATTAGAGGATGCAGAATGGTGATTTTTTTCCTGATTGTATCATTCTTTCCATATTGACTAGTTGATAATCTTCTATAAAGAACTCGCTCTCATCAGTTAGTTATTCTAAATTATAATTCATATTGAAAAGACAGGATAAATGTTTAATTCTTTCCTTTTACTTGCCAGTTTTCAGGAAATGATCACTAGTTACTTCCAGTGGTATACAATGAGTAGTTGATTTTTTGGCTTTCTCTCAAAAAGATCATTATGAATTCATGGGTTTTTATATATTGAGCATACCACTCAATTATCAAAATTAAGCGGAGGATCCACAGGGTCAGCTCTATGCTTTAGAAAGTTAACTGGTAGAGATTAGAGGCAGAGAAACTGATCACTTGAAAGATTGCCTATTAATCAAAATTACAAATGCACCTAAATTTAGAGGAATTTATGCTACTCATATAGTTCCACATGTTCGAAGTTACTTAGATACAAGGTTATTTATAGCAGCATTTTTTATAATTGCAAAAGACTAGAAACCACCTAAATATCCATTAATATTAGTAGGGGGACTAATTAAATTATACTACATTCATTTAAGTAGATGCTAAGCAGTCATAACAAAGAATGAGGAAAGTTTTTATGTATAGAAATGGAATACTCTCCAAGGTACACTCAGTTAAAAGAACCAAGGTGCAGGACAGTGTGTGTAGCTGCTGTTTGAATTAAAATAGGGAAAGATATATATGTATTTCCATGTGTGTATAAATACTAAAATATCTTGGACTTGTGACAAGAAACATTACATAATTGCCTGTGAGGATGTGGTCTGGGAGGCTAGAGACAGGTGGAAGGGAGTCTTCACTTGATACCCTAAGTATCTTGAATTTTGAGCCATGTGAATGTCTTATTCCAAAAATAAAGACATTTATTAATATAAAAAGGAGATTTTATAGTAGTTCAAGTCAAAGGTAGCCCAATCTGAGGTAACAGGAATGGAGAGGAGACAGATTGATTCATTATAGAAGTAATGTTTGCAGCTTAGAGCTGGCCATCAGACAAGCACTGAAGATATGTTGTATTAGGGGAACTGCAGCCTCAATTGCTCCGAATTTTCTGCTTTCGAAAAGAAGTTGGTCCTAAGCCACAATGCAGCCTTAGCTTGCCCTTAGACCACTAAGAGGGGTGGTGTGGGAGCTCCTTTACTCCCACTTTTAAGTCTTAGCTAGCTTCTCCCACGCTTTTCTTAAATGTTTTGTGTAACCAAGAGAATTTAATAGGTGAGACTATTTGGGAAGAGAAAGATTGGTTTACCCCACCACTTCCTGTCTGTATTTATATATCTGAACTCTCCTGCTCAGTATGTGAAGACCTGTGAAATTTATACAAGAAAGGACAAAAGTTTGTTACATTCTTTCTTCACTCGCAGGCCATCTCCCAGGGAGGGAGTGGGGCAAGGCCTGTGTGACCAAGGGCAGGGTCCAAGGCCGAGGCTCACTCGAGTGCAGCGTCCCCACGCCAGGTTTTTCTGCTCCTGTACTTTCCCTTTCCTGCCCTTTTTCCAAGCCCCCTTTCACTGTGTTTCTGTCTCCGGTCCATCTTTGACTTCTCAAGTGGCCGGATCTGTGGGGCTGCCCCGCGGCGGAGACGGGAGTCATTCTCTGGCGGCCTGCGGTAAGGATTCCTTTGTCTCCCAGTCTCTGTCTTCGGCTCGAACCGCGCCGGGCCTGCGGGTACACTCTCACATCCAGCCTGGCCCTGCCCGCCACAGACCCAGTAGTCTTAAAGGAAGCCAGCATTCTGCGCTCGGAAGCGACAGCCAGGCCTGGGCGCCCGCACACTCGAGGCTCCCGTAGAGGCCGCGTGGGAACCCGCGGGGGCGCGACGACCCTCACCGCGCAGGCGTCAATCTTCCCTTCTTGACACTGCAATTCCCATCAGGCCATGCAGCGTTCCCGGTGTCGATGAAGCCCCGGAGCTTCGCCCGCTCCGAAAGGGCTCGGGGACTCTCGCCGCACTGCATTATGGAATACATAGTCTAATAGAAAACGTCTTTGGGCACAAACTCTAGACCAAGCTCACGTGTTTACCTTATGCGCTGGGCGGGGGGTGGACGGGTGCGTCCATGAAGAGCAGCTACCAGATTTCGTCATAAAACCGCGACCAGACAGGCGGCGCCATCTTCGAACTTGGACTTCCGGAAGGACTTTGGTGAGGGTGAGTGTACCGCAGCGGGTTGTGCGGGGGCCCCACAATTACTCCTCCCGCTTCTTTTTCGGTAGCACTATGATATTTGGGACCAACTCCCAGCTCCGCTATTCTTTCTCTGTACAGCATCGCGACCTCCAGCCCCTGCGCTCCTACAGAAACCATCATGCTCCCCCACCTCCTTCCCCACGGTGGCAACCGTGCATCCCCCATCTCTACTAACCACGGGTCTTGCCTTCTTTCCCCACGCAGTGTACGTAACACAGTATCCTGTATCCCGGCCCCAGCGCTGCTTACATTGCGTCCCTCCGACTTTGCGAACCTACAGTAGTCCTCAGCTTTGGAAACTCAGGGCTCTTCCTCCGGCACAGGCTAGTGGTAAAAGCTGCCCCCACGCCAGGACTGAGGAAGGGCAGGCGATCACCCCTAGAATGATAGCGGGTCAATCTCCTCATTCTGCTGTGTCCCAGCCTTTTCCTCGATGAGGCTCTTCTAACCTCGAGGGTTGTGCCCCGCGCGCTGCAACCCCATTGGCGCAGCCAAGGGCCAGTTATGTTTCCCTGTTTAGTCCTTTTATCCCACGGCGGTCTGCTGGGGAAGACAGAGGTGTCGACTCCAACCTTACCTTTGGTAACTCACTTTGTTAGAGCGGTGTAGGGTATGGCCAAGACTTCGGCTTAGCGGCATATTGTTATATAAACTTGTCATTCCTGTGCCATCGTCGTTTTTTTGCTATCCCTTATCAACTGTACTATTATTTTCCTAATAGTTTTCTTTAAATTGATATTTATTTATTTTTTGAGAAAGAATAGCCCTGAGCTAACTGCTGCCAATCCTCCTCTTTTTGCTGAGGAAGGCTGGCCCTGAGCTGAAATCCGTGCCCATCTTCCTCTGCCTTATACGTGGGATGTCTACCACAGCATGGCTTGCCAAGTGGTGCCATGTTCGCACTGGGGATCCAGGCCGGCGAACCCCAGGCCACCGAAGCAGAACGTGGGCACTTAACCGCTGTGCCACCGGGCCAGCCCCCTGATTTATTTTTAAAGTTTCAATGCTTTAGTCTCGTTCTGAGCAACATAGATAAAACCATGGGTTTTATGGGCCATTTGTAGTTTTTTTATACAAGGTAAAATAAAAACACAATTAGATGAAATTGTTCATTTTTGTACTACTAAAATCATCTTGCATACCACCAGTTGTACCATAGGAACACTTTGGGAAACAGTGTATTAGACCAAACTATGTTTAAAGTAATTCCATACTTGAGGAACAGTGTTATCTAATTACTTTCCTTGGCTGGGGAGGTCAGGCTGGCAGCCTGGAGCAGCGTGGAACCAGACCAGTTGAGGTGCAAATGTAAAATTTTATAAACTCTAGTACAAACTTACTAAGCCTCCCTTCTTTTACTTGTGTCCAAAATCTGCATTGTGAAATCATAAACGGAAATTAGCCACCATAGCCTGCTACTGTCTTCTAGAGAAGTGAATTATTAAAGAGATTTTTGTACCTTGACAAGTTAGTCATTCAATCAACAAAGGTTAATCATTGCACTTACCATCTACCAGGTTCTGGATACAAAAGTGAATCAGATAGACAAGATTCCTAGCTTATAAAACGTTCAGGGAAGATAGATATGAAATAAGGAAATCACTTATCGTAAGGAAAATTCCAGATGGACTAAAGAGCGACGTGTAATATCCAAAACTGGAAAAAATATTAGAAGAAAATAAAATTGGATATATTTATATTAGTGGGGTAGGAAGTGCCTTTTTAAGACATAAAACAGAAGCCATAAAGGAGAAGATTGAGAAATTTAACATAAAATTTAATTTCAGTTTAGCAAGAAACATTATAAAGTTGTTTTTTTTTTTTTAAGATTTTATTATTTCCTTTTTCTCCCCAAAGCCCCCTGGTACATAGTTGTATATTCTTCGTTGTGGGTTCTGCTAGTTGTGGTATGTGGGACGCTGCCTCAGCGTGGTCTGATGAGCAGTGCCATGTCCGCGCCCAGGATTCGAACCAACGAAACACTGGGCCGCCTGCAGCGGAGTGTGCGAACTTAACCACTCGGCCACGGGGCCAGCCCCATAAATAAAGTTTTTTAAACAGTAGATACAGAGAGACAATATTTGCAGCATAAATAACAAACTTTACAGATCAGTAAGGAAAAGATTGATTTGTCTTACAGAAATTTGGGCAAATTATATCGATAGGCAATTCATAAAAGACATAGATGTCCAACAGATAAAAAGAAGTTGCTGACCTCAATTATGAGGACAATGCAAATAAATACAATAGGGAAGAATTCTTTCTCTCATCAGATTGGCAAAAGTTAAAGTTAGATAATCAATTCATACTGATATACAGTTAGTGGGAGTATAGATTGATTTTCATTTTGGTAGCTGTTTGGCATTATCTGTTAAGTTTTGAGATGTGTATACTCTTTAACCCAATACAGTGATTGCACTTCAGATGATTATTCCAGGAAAATAATTTCTCATTAAGGAAGAGATCGGTACTAAAATTTCATTGCAATATTGTTTGTAATATATTGTAATCCAGTTGTCCATTAAATGAGGAATATCCAAATAAACTGTAATTCTATAGGACACCAGATAGTATCTAAGAAGAATGAGATATATGTACATGCACTGATATGGAATATCTTTAGGATATATATGGAAATTCTTTTTAACTGATATCTGTTTGACTGGCTTCCTGTGTTAACTGACATCCCCCATTTTCTCTGTAAACGTACCGACTGATGCCCGTGGCACTGAATGCTCCAGGGCTGTAGGCTTTTCTCCTGTAGGCTTGGTCACTCTTCTCCCACTAGTTGAGTTGAATTCTTGCCAAGAGTCATTGTATTGGTTCCCAATATTTTTTTATGTCAGTTGATTTGTTATTATATTTATATAATTGTGACATATATGTAAATTTTAAAGAAATTTGAGTGTGAAAGAGTTATGTTTTTTAAGACTAAGTTGAAATGTGGCGGGTACACAGGTGTTTTATAGTTATTCTTTATATTCTACACATATTTACAAGTATTTTGTATCAACTAAAAATTTTATTGAAACAATTTTAAAAAAGAAAGAAAGCAAAAAGTTAAATGCTTTGGAAAGACAAAAGAGATGAGTTTGTGGACAAGCTGCCAAATAGGTGTGAGTGAGACAACTGTAAAAGACCGAGGAAAATTTCTGAAACTCTGGAAGGTTACTGCACTTGAATTGCTCCTCAAGAAAAGAGAATGTTTCACTAAAGCAGTGGTGAGTAGTGTCAGTGCTGCTGAGCAGTCAAGTTAAACGAGACTGAGAGAAGTGTCCCTTGGATTAATTGACACAGCAATTATTGATGACTTTAGTTTCAGTGATGGTTTGGGGGCAGTATCCTAGTTAGGATAAAGAAGGGTGATTGATTAACATCAAGGGCAGACAACTCTTTAAAAGTTTGACTGTGAGAGGGAGGAAGAATATGTGTTGAAGGATAGTTGTATATGTGTTAAGATGAGAATTATACATGTATTTCAATGCAGTTTGGAAGGAGCTAATAGAGAGGAAAAGGATAAACAACTCCAGTTTCCTTAGGAGGTGGGAGAATGGGGCTAGAACACAAGTGGAAGATTTGGCCTTAGAAAGTGGATGAGGGGTTCAGATGCAGGGAGTGTTAGGCTACTTGACAAGAAATTGGAGTAATCCCATCTAATGGCTTTGGTTTTTGTTTTGGAAATCTGAGGCAACGTCATCTACTGAGAACCAGGGGATCAGATATTGGAGAGGAGAGGATGTGGGAGCTGAATAAAGAGAAAGTGTGATTGCTAGTGCTTGGCAGCTTAGATGCATACGTGGAGAAGATGGATGGTTGGTTCATCTAGGGCTTAAATTTTGCCAGGCCTGTGGAACAAAAAGGAAGTTCATAATATCAACAAGAGTTTGATTAAAAGAAAGGAATCTAAACTAGATAGTTGTGGCCCACACAGGGAGAAATTGGAGAAATCAATGGCTAGTGGCTTGGTATGGTTGAAGAATAGACACAGTGATGTAGTTGATCAGTCTAGCTATAATGATGGGAGGTTGTGATCAGATAGTAGGATGTCTTAGTGATTTGGGAGGTTAAAAGGTTTTGTGTGATGACAAGGTCCAGGATGTGACAGTGGAGTGAGTAGCAGTGGTTTAGCTGAATGTTAGGAGCTTCCCAAGGAACAAGGTTTTTATAAGATGGAGAGGGCTATTAGTCTAAAAGTGGCATTGGAGAGGAATTGGAAAGATACTGATCCTGCTTTCTGCCCTGGGGTAAGTGGCATGTGAGGGAATGAGCAAGCTCCACTTGAGATTCTGGAAAGCTAGAAATTTCATTCCTGGATTTTTTTTCACCCAAGATTCTCAATATGATTTAGCTCTTGCCAATCAAATGTGTTCTTGAAGAACTCAAATTTGGACCTGAGTTTAGGGAGGAGAGAGGCAGACCAGGAGGCAGTGCATTTTGCTGATACAGGTTGTGGCAGTGATATGGTTCTGGATCTGGGACCCAGAGAAGTGTCTTCCCCATTTAGTCAGGTGACTTTCTGATTATTGCAGAGGCAGCTTGTTTACACAGCCAACAGCTATGGCAGGTGGCTTCCCACCTTTTTGGACCAGCAGCTGTAAAACAACTTCCCAATTTGACAAGCACTTGTTCCTTAAGTGTTTTTGGCCCCACCCCTCTCAATGATCCTCTATGCAGCTGGTTCTCAAACTTGAGTGTGCATCAGAATCACTTAAAGGGATTGTTATAACATAAAGTGCTGGCCCCGTCCCAGAATTTCTGATTCAGTAGGCCTGGAGTAGGAATGGAAATTTGCATTTTAACGAATGGATCCAGGATCACACTTTGAGAACCACTGATGTGAGCCATTTAATACCCTTTAATAAATCCCTTTTAGCTTCAACTGGCTAGCGAGGATTCTGTTCTATGTAACTGAACCTTGACAAATGTTTTATTCACATCTTCTCTGTCCTTACATATTTGATCGGTCAATAATTAAAAGAAGTAGTTCTTGTATTTCCTGAAGGTTTTCTTTTATGTATTTTGATGCTATGTTATTTGATGTCTAAATGTCCATGACATTTCTGTCTTTTATATGATTTGAACTTTTATCCATTGTAAAGTGCTCCTTTTTTGTCCCATTTAATATTTTTTCCCTGAATTCAGCTTTGCTATTACTATCAAAACTCCTCTCTTCTTTTGCTTACCTTTGTTCTGTATATTTTAATTCACCTTTTTACTTTCAGCTTGTAGAGTTCTTTTGTTTGAGACATCTCTTAAAAAGCATGTAGTTGTTTGGCTTTTTAAGTCAATCCAAATCTTTATTCTTTCAATGATTGAATTTATCTGATACATTTTTGTTGTTAAAATACATGTTTTATCTTGCTTCTGTGATCTTTGTTGGTTTTTTTTTTCTTTTGTGTGTGTTTCCTTTATTTTCAGTTTTTCATTGTGTGGTCTTTTAAAAAGTTCCTTCTGGTTCTTATGGCCTACTGTGTATTTTGGCAGCAGCATAGTATACTGTTTTTAGGTCTATTAAACATCTAAATGGTATTAATAAACCTATATTTTTTAATTTATCAACCTTAGAAGCAAAATTAGTATACTTCTTCTTTTGTCTTAGTCTACTACAATCAGAACATTGGTATTTTTACATTGTGCAGCCTTTAAAATTTTTAAGTTAGAGGGGCCGGCCCCTGTGGCCGAGTGGTTAACTTCGCGCACCCCGCTTGGGCGGCCCAGGGTTTCACTGGTTCAGATCATGGGCGCGGACGTGGCACTGCTCGTCAGGCCATGCTGAGGTGGCATCCCACATACCACAACTAGAAGAACCTACAACTAAAATATATACAACTATGTACTCGGGAGCTTTGGGGAGAAAAAGGAAAAATAAAATCTTTAAAAAAAATTTTAAGTTAGAGTCTGTTTTATAGCTGTAGTTACCATGGTTATTTAAACTCGATTGATGTGTCACTGGATTAAATGCTTAGCTGCCGATCTTTTCATAACACAACTTCTCTTAGAAAGTTCTTTGTATTGATTTGTCTTTCATTGGCTAAATTAGAGCTTCGAGTGGATGTTTTTTAAGTAAGGGTGCTTAAGATTTATAATTCCTAGAAACTTGCATATTGAGAATGCCATCCTGTTTCCTTTACATGAATGACATCCCAGTTAAGTAAAGAATTCTCTTGATTCTCCTAGTGTTTCTTTATCTTCTGGCATCAAATGTTTCTGAGAATTCTGAGGCTGATCTGATTTTTTTTCCCCTTCATAGGAGAAATTTAGTATATTCAGATATTTCTTGGTCTTGATGATTCTTTAGTTTCCCTTTTACACCATAAGCCTTTTTGATCTATAGACTGAGATCTTCCTTTGTTTCAGGAAAGTATTCTTTTATTTTTTACTTTATTTATTTATTATTTTTTTTAAAGATTTTTTTTTTTAACTGAGGACACTATTCCATCACCACTACTCAGCTTCTTCTTTTTTTGTTTTTGTTTTAAAGATGGGCACCTGGGCTAACAACTGTTGCCAATCTTTTGTTTGTTTGTTTTTCTGCTTTATCTCCCCAAACCCCCCTGGTACATAGTTGTATATCTTAGTTGCAGGTCCTTCTAGTTGTTGTGGGATGTGGGACGCTGCCTCAACAGGGCCTGACAAGCGGTGCCATGTCTGCGCCCAGGATCCGAACCAGTAAAACCCTAGGCTGCCGAAGCAGAGCGTGCGAACTTAACCACTCGGCCACAGAGCTGGCTCTTAAAGATTTTATCTTTCCTTTTTCTACCCAAAGACCCCAGTACATAGTTGTGTATTTTTTTTAGTTGTGGGTCCTTCTGGTTGTGGCATGTGGGATGCCGCCTCAGCACAGCTTGATGAGCCGTGCCATGTCTGTGCCCAGGATCCGAACAGGCAAAACCCTGGGCCGCTGAAGCGGAGCACGCGAACTTAACCATTCAGCCACGGGACGGCCCCTATTTTTAATTTTTTTTATTTCAGGAAATTTCCTTCTGTTTTTGAACATTTTTTTTCTATTCCCATTTTTCTTCTCTTTTCTTTAGGAACATCAATTATTCATATGTTGGCTCCCCACTTTCTCTTTTCATCCATACTGTCTTCTCACCAATGACTTTTATTTCTTTGCAGTCATTGTGGTTTTTCTCAAACCTATCCTTCATATCACTGATTCTCTTTTCAGCAGTGTAGTTTCAACATTCTGTTTCTCCTCTGGTTTTCATTTCTATGATTTTTTTTTTTTACCGAGGAAGATTAGCCCTGAGCTAACATCAGCCAATCCTCCTCTTTTTTTCTGAGGAAGAGTGGCACTGAGCTAACGTCCATGCCCATCTTCCTCTACTTTATATGTGGGACGCCTACCATAGCATGGCTTGCCATGTGGTGCCATGTCCACACACACCCAGGATCTGAACCGGGAACCCTGGGCTGCCAAACCGGAACGTGCACACTTAACCGCTGCACCACCGGGCCGGCCCCAATCTGGCTTCTGGTTTTTTTGTTTTTGTTTTTGTTTTTTTTGTGTGTGTGAGGAAGATTAGCCCTGAGCTAACTACTGCCAATCCTCCTCAGTGATTTAATTCTTTTACTCAGTTTCTTTCCTTCCGAATGCCAGCTCACTTTGTACCTTGCCATTGTTTTATTTCTTCTTTGATCTCTTGTTTCTTGGATTCCTTGGTTTTTTTGAAAGTATACAGCTCTTGTTGGATATTTTCTTCTGATTTCTGGAGTCTTTCTTTGAAAGGGTGCTTTTCGTCTTTTTTCGTTTGTGTCCTTTTTATTCTTTCTGTGATATCTTTATGTGGTCTCATTTGGATCCTTTTTGCTTATTACTAATTTTGAATGAAGTGGTTCTGTCAGGGGTTGCTGTTTACCAAAGAACTATGTACGTGGATTCTTATTGGCTCTGTTTACCTTGGTATTGTTACGTTGCATCTTTAGCACATGGTGTTATATTGTATCCTTAGCACCAGAGTTAGAGGGTTGGCTATTGTTGTAGTTTATAATCTGGTTAGACTTTAGCTTCTTCAAGAGAGACAGTTGGGAACTTTAATTTGTATGATATTTCTTATGATATTTGTATTAGCACACTTTTCCACTGAGACTGATGAATTCTTTATCCTTGAGACATATACAGACCTATGGAGGGTCCCTTCCTTGGATTTGAGCTATTTCTCCCCCTTGTCACACAGACAAGCAGCTTATTCTGGCCAAAAACTGGGCGCTTGTGGAGTTCTGTGTTGCTCAGGTTCTGTGTTTGATCATCAATGTTTTATTTATCTCTGTCGGTTTACTTTGGTCCATGGTTGTATAGCTGATTTCCTGGGTTTGAAGAAAATGAAGATTCATGACCAGTTTTTTAGTCCATTCTTCAATGTGGAAAAGGTCTTAATGTGGTAGGATGTTCCTTAATTGTCTCAGAGCCTACCATCTCTCCCATCCAGGTAAGAGAGTGATGGCAGGGCACTAGAGAACTCTTGCTTATTCTTAAATAAATCTGTTGTTTGACTAATATTCACAAGGATGGAAGTTAGCTCGAGGCAATCTCCTTCAACTTGATCTAATTTTATAGTATCCGGCAGCTATTCTTTATAGTCTCTTTTAGGAAGTTGTGACTGTAGATTCGTAACAGTGGTTTCTCGCTCTCTTTTTTTATTTGAGGGGGAGAGGTGATTCATTTCATTGGTTTTCAGGGAGAGGAGTTAAATAATTGTTCATTCACTGCAATATCCTTACAAGAAACCTATGAGCTTTAAATTAAATAATGTAAATAAAGCACTTAGTACCGTGCTTGGCACATAGAAGCATTTAATAAATGGTAGCTTTATTATTATTTGTTTGTTTATTGTCAGCTCCATTAGCATGTAAGTTCCACAAGGACAGGGACCTTGTCTGTCTTGCTTATTGTCATATTACCAGTTCCTGAAATAGTATCTACGTATAGAAGATACTTAGTAATTATTGTTGAATGAATGAATCATCAGGGAGCTTGCGTTTCAGGTTGGGGTAGGGGTGTGAGGGGAGAAAAGATAAGAAAGTAGAAAAGTCTGAGCCAGTGCAAATTACTTTTACCTTCTATTCATTTTATGTCTCTATATGCAGGGGCAGCCAATTTAGGGGATTGCTGATGGATGCCTGCGGGGTCGGCTGTGCTGCCCTTGGGGAGGCCGGCCCCGTGGGGAACATGACTGTGGTAGACTCTCCCAGAGAAGAGGTGCTAAACCAGTTTGACATCAAGGCCTCTTCAGAAACAACCAGTGCAAAGGCTTCCATAGAGATGTCGTTACCTACCCCTTTACCTGGATTTGAGGATTCTCTTAATGAGAAGAGGCTCCCTCCAAAACAGGAAAGCCTTTCCAGACTGGAACAGCAAGGTATGTACCTTGACCTTTCATCTTTTTATCTCCCCATGCTTACCTTAAAATGAAAGAGAGCAGGTTGAGCTCACAGGATCTTACAAACCTGGGTATGGTATAATCTATTCCAAAGAGGTTTGAGCTCTGGTCCCGTCTCACAGACCCATATTCTTCTCTACAGATCTTCCTTCAGAGATGTCAAAGGTCTCAAAGCCTAGGGCCTCAAAGCCTGGCCGGAAGAGAGGTGGTAGGACACGGAAAGGCCCAAAAAGGCCCCAACAACCTAATCCTCCATCAGCCCCTCTGGTTCCTGGTCTCTTAGATCAATCCAACCCTCTATCCACCCCCATGCCTAAGAAACGAGGTCGAAAGTCCAAGGCAGAGCTGCTACTGCTGAAGTTGTCAAAAGGCCTAGATCAGCCAGAATCTCCACCTCCAAAGAGGCCCCCTGAGGACTTTGAGACCCCTCCTGGGGAACGACCCCGCCGAAGGGCTGCCCAAGTGTAAGGATTGTGGGGCACAGCTTGGTGGAGGGAGGTTGGGGTGAAGGGATCAGGGTGGGGCACATATTGATGAGATGAGAAGACTATGTGAGGTGTCAGGTAAGCAGGGGTGGTGTCTGGGTTCTGGGGACTTGAGCAATCTAGCTCTTACCACAGCAACTTTAATCTGTTGCTAAATTTGTCTATCTAGGAGGTTTCTTTCCATGTCTTGTATCCTATCACATTTTTCACTTTCCTCCAGATCTTCATTGCAATTTTACTGCCCAGTAGATGTATCAGTATAAATGCGCCCTTCCCTTCTTTCTCTTTGTCTTCCTCAATGATCTTTGACTGTGGTAGAGTGAAAAGTGCTTTGGACTTGGAGTCGGAAGACCTGGGTTCAGATTCCACATATGTGATCTGAAACATCTTGGCCAAGTCACTTAACTTTCCTGGATTTCTGTTTCTTCATCTGTCAAAGGGGAAAGAGAAATTAATAGCTGCTTTACAGGGTCACTGGGAGGATCCAGTGAGATAAGAATCAGCCAAGTGTCTGGAAAAGTGGGCTCTCAGTTAAGTGTTTGTGAGTATGGCTCTGACTCCACCCTATCCCACAGGGCACTTCTATATCTCCAGGAACTGGCTGAAGAGCTCTCAACAGCCCTGCCTGCTCCAGTGTCCTGTCCTGAGAGCCCCAAGGTGAGCAGCCCTACCAAACCGAAGAAAAGCCGCCAGCAGGGAGCCTGTCAAGGTGGAGAAGAAGAGGATGATACTGCACAGGACGAAGACTTTGTTCTCCAGGTTGAGGCTGAAGATGGAGAAGAAAGTGAGGCCCCAAGTGAGAGCTCTTCCGAGCCCGAGCCTGCAGTGCCTCGAAGCATCCCACGAGGACCTACTTCAGGGGTAACCTGAATGGACAAGAAAGTGAATGGGGAAATAGTTGGTAGGATTATTAGGGGATCAGCAGGGTGTCCAGAAGGAAAGCTTTGGCCTAGTAACTATGTTGGCCAAAATAGGTAAAAGAAGAAAGGGACAACCTCAAAAACAATTGAGATTGTGGGGCTGAGGGTGTAAGTAAATAAGATTATTCATTCCTATATTGAGCATCTACTCTGTGCTAGGAAACACAAATGTGAATAAGACAGAGTCCTGCCTCACAAGGTTCACAGTGTGATAAGTGCTATACCGGGAGTGAACAAAAGGCTTTACGTATACAGAGTAAGGGTGACTAACTGCTTAGGCTTCACAGAGAAATGATAGTTGAGCTAGGTCTTGAAAGGAATAGAAGTGTGCCAGAGAGGATGGTTTTCCCAGAAATTGATTATGCTGCAGCATATGGCCTGGAGTAAAGAGATGGGGGAGATTAAACTAGAGAGGATGAAAAAACTAAGATTGGTAGGAGCCAATAAAGGTTGTGTGTGTTTAATTGTTGTAAAATAGACATTTACATAAAATTTACTGTTTTAAGATATACAACTCTGTGTCACACAGTGCGTTCACGGTGTTGTGCAACCATCACCACTATCCATTTCCAAAACTTTTTCATCATCCCAAACAGAAACTCTATACAACAAAGATTTTTAAGTAGAAAAATAACATCAGTTAGGAAAATAGGTCAATTTGCAGTTGACAATTAGAAGACTGCTTTAATTACGCAGGTAGTGAGGGCCTGAATCAAGCAGTGAACAAAGAGAAGGTCGGGGGCAGATTGAAGAGATTACAAGGGAATTAACAGGAGTTGGGAGTTGAAGGAAAGGACCAAGTGGGAGTTTCCAGCTTAGATGGTGCTCTCATACACTGAACTTGGGAATACAGGAAGAATGGGGGACGCAGGAGGGGTGAAGGTGGGCGGGGGAGGTGATGAGTTCACTTTCTGACATGTTGAGGTACAGGTGCTGGTGGGCCATGGGCCATCCCTCTGGAGACATTTGATTGGCAGTCATGTACAAATATGAGACCAGTGCCTTATTTGTCTCAAGTGCACACTTAAGGGAACACCAAAACCTTCAGTAATCAAGATAAATATTTTGATGCAACATTTTAAAAATCAAAATTAATGCAACAAATCTATGATGAACAAAATATCAAAATTTTAAACAGATAGGAACTGTATTACTGATTTTTCCTTTTGCTTCAGGCTCTGATATGGCTCAGCACCACACAGTAGGGATCTAGAATTTGTAGAAAAGTTGAAACTGGGTAAAGTTTACATTTACTAAGATGTAAACTTGAGCACAACCAGAAGGACCTACAACTAGAATATACATCTATGTACTGGGGGACTTTGGGGAGAAGAAGAAGGAGAAAGATGAAACTTGATAATCAGGCATAAAAATGGTAGTTAAAGCCATGGGACATGGGATGAGATTACCAGGAGTAGGTGTATAGAGTGTTGAGAATAAGACAGGACTCTGGGAAATACTATCATTGACCAAACCTATCAGGAGGGAGAGCGTGCAAGGGAATATTAGAGAGGTAGGAAAGAGGAGAGACTACCAGGAGGGCAGGAGTTTCAAGAAGCAAATGGGAATCCTCTGAATCAATGCCATGGAGACACTGAGGAAGATGAACAGAAAATAGATAACAGGTTTTGTAGTTTTGATGGAGGAGTAGGAGCAGAAGGTAGAGAAGTCATTGTAGTGTTTGAAACATAAATCTTAAGGTGGTGATTGGGCAGAGGTTAGAGGGGAAGTAGTGCCAGGAAAAATAAAAGCTGGGAAAGCTGTCTCCTGGGGACTTTCTCTAGCCTATAAAATTCTCTCCCTTACCTCTTCAATTTGATCCTCAGAAGCAGAAGCCACACTGCCGGGGAGTGGCTCCTAATGGCTTACCAAATCACATCATGGCTCCTGTTTGGAAGTGCCTCCATCTCACCAAGGACCAGTGAGACTTGGGGACTGGGGGCTGGGGGGATGAAAGGGTGTGGTGGAATGCAAAGGACGATCTAGAAGTGGGGCTGTGGGAAAGATGGAAGGCTTTCACAGGGCAGAACACTGAAGACATTTATGACTAAAAGGCACTGATCCAAAGGCAAGAGCCCTAGGGTGTACTGTCCAATATGGTAGCCATTAGCTGCATGTGGCCTTTTAAATTAATTTAAAAATTAAATAAAATTAAAAGTCCAGTTTTTCAGTTGCACTAGCCACATTTCAAGTGCCCAGTAGCTACTTGGAGCTAGCAGCTAGTATATTGGACAGCACAGATAATAGACCACTTCCATCATCACAGAAAGTTCTGTTGGGCAGCACTGCTCTAGAATTTCTCTCCTCCTTCATTAATGCTTCTTCTGTTCCTCCAGCCGAGAACAGAAACATTCATACTGGGAGTTTGCAGAATGGATTCCTTTAGCCTGGAAGTGGCACTTGTTATCTGAACTGTAAGTTGAAGAGACATTTCTAGAGCCTAGGAGGGGTAACACCACAGGAGACAGAAGGGTGACAGAGGACTCTAGATTTATAATGGGAATCTTGGGATGGGTGATACTCTTCCAAATTCAGGCTGTTCCCTTTGTCTTCCCCTAGTGAGGCAGCTCCCTACCTGCCGCAGGAGGAGAAGTCTCCACTGTTTTCTGTACAACGTGAAGGACTTCCTGAAGATGGCACACTCTACCGAATAAACAGGTGAAGATTGCATCTCTTTTTCTGATTGGAGGAGACAGAAATAGGAAAAATGAATGTTGAAAGGGATGATAGATTGGCCCTGTTCTTTCCTGATCCTGGTCCAGTTGGTCCCAAGGGTAGGAGTCCTGGCTACATCTGGTCAACCCTATCTAGTCTGCAGTGCTCATCACTGACTGCGAGAAGCTAGGGAAATTGAGGGTCAAACCAGATTACAAGGTCACATCTACTCAGATAGACCTGCACAGGCTGGTCCTAAAGAGAACACTAGTAAACCAGAACGCGCAGCACATCATCTTTGAAGGTGAACTAGAGCTAGACAGACTTGGGGAAGGAAAGGAGGAAAATACAAATGGTGGCTAGGACTATTCTCACCTCTAGACTGTTCTTGATATTCTGGCCCTTGCTTGATATTCCTGCCAGTTCATACTGGCTCGAGGTGGAGCTCCCATTCTGTCCTCATTACCTTTTTTTTTTCTTTTTTGAGGAAGATTAGCCCTGAGCTAACATTGGCTGCCCATCCTCCTCCTTTTGCTGAGGAAGACTGGCCCTGAGCTAACATCTGTGCCTATCTTCCTCTACTTTATACATAGGACTCCTGCCACAGCATGGCTTGCCAAGTGGTGCCATGTCCCCATCCGGGCTCTGAACTGTTGAAGCCCGTGCTGCCGAAGTGGAATGTGTGCACTTAACCGCTATGCCACTGGGCCAGCCCACCTTTTTTTTTTTTATTTTTTTAGAGCAATTTTAAGTTCACAGCAAAATTGAGAGGAAAGTATAGAGATTTCCCATATATGCCTGTCCGCACACATACACAACCTACCCTGTGATCAACATCTCCTACCAGAGTGGTACATTTGTTACAGTTGATGACCTACAATGACCCATCATCACTGAAAGTCTGTAGGTTACCTTAGGGTTTACTCTTGGTCTTGTGCATTCTATGTGTTTGGACAAATGTATAATGACATGTACCCATCATTATGGTATCATACAGAGTATTTTCACTGCCCTAAAGATCTGCCTATTCATCCCTTCCCCCTACTCCAGTCCCTGGCTATCACTGATCTTTTTACTAGCTCCAAAGTTTGCCTTTTCCAGAATGTCATTTGGTTGGAATCATACAGTATGTAGCCTTTTCAGGTGGGCTTCTTTCACTTAGTAATATGTATTTAAGGTTCCTCCGTGTCTTTTCATGGCTTGATAGCTCATTTCTTTTTAGTGCCAAATAATATTCCATTGTCTGGATGTATCACAGTTTATTTATCCATTCACCTAATTAACTCTTCTTTATTCACTTTTCTCTAGATTTAGCTCTATCACAGCACACCCAGAGCGCTGGGATGTGTCCTTCTTCACGGGGGGACCACTCTGGGCTCTGGACTGGTGCCCTGTGCCAGAGGGGGCAGCAGCCTCTCAGTATGTGGCCCTTTTCTCCAGCCCTGACATGAATGAGACACACCCACTGAGCCAGCTTCATTCGGGTCCTGGGCTGCTCCAGCTCTGGGGCCTTGGGACCTTGCAGCAAGAAAGCTGGTGAGGTGGGGCTGGGACACTACCGTGGGAGGGTGGTTGAGGAGGAGAGAAGGATGGAGCTGGGCAGAGCAGGTGGGGAGAGCTTGGACTGGGTTGAGATGAGGGGATGCAGGCTCTGGCAGCCCTTGGCCCCTCCTTCTTAACCATTCTCCCCACATGCTTTCTCTCCTCAGTCCTGGCAACAGGGCCCACTTTGTCTATGGGATTGCGTGTGACCATGGCTGCATCTGGGACCTCAAATTCTGCCCCAGTGGAGCATGGGAGCTTCCAGGCACCCCTCGGAAGGTACCTCCCAGTTGATTGTGGAATGGCCCTAGAACTCAGAGCCAGGACAGAGAAGCCCTGGGCGTTCTCAGAGTTGGAGGAAGGGAGGTGGGAGACTGGTGGATGGAGTTTTTCCATCAACTATGTATTATATTTTCTGGGACCAGAACCTCAAAAGTTTTCTGAGAGGTGCCTGAAGGCAGCAAGCCTCAGCACACGTCTGGTCTCACCCTCTAGGCTCCTCTCCTGCCTCGGTTGGGTCTCTTGGCTCTTGCCTGCTCAGATGGGAAGGTGCTGCTGTTCAGTCTTCCCCATCCTGAGGCCCTGCTGGCTCAGCAGCCACTAGGTGAGTAGCACAGCAAGGGGAATGAGGCCACTGTAGCTGTGGCCAGAGCTTAGCAGGGCCTGTGCCTCTCCCCTGAAACCCATCTAGGCCTAATCTCTCTTACTCAGTCACACCACCCATTCTGACTTTACAGATTTTGTTCTTGACTTCTCTCTTTAGCAGCCTGCAAGTGCTACTGTCTTTCACAGTCTTTTTTTTTTTTAATTTTTAATTTAATTTTATTGTTACTTTTTTTTATTTTGAGGAAGATTAGCCCTGGGCTAACATCTGTCAATCCTCTTCTTTTTGCTGAGGAAGACTGGCCCTGAACTAATATCCGTGCCCATCTTCTTCTGCTTTATATGTGGGACGCCTGCCACGGCATGGCTTACCAAGCGGTGCCATGTCCGCACCCGGGATCCGAACCGGCGAACCCCAGGCTGCCAAAGCAGATCATGTGAACCTAACTGCTGTGCCACCGAGCTGGTTCTGCTTTTTTTTGAGGAAGATTAGCCCTGAGCTAACATCGGCTGCCAATCCTCCTGTTTTTGCTTAGGAAGACTGGCCCTGAGCTAACATCCATCCTCATCTTCCTCTACTTTATATGTGGGACACCTACCACAGCATGGCTTGCCAAGCGGTGCCATGTCCACACCCAGGATCCGAATCGGCGAACCCCAGGCTGCCGAAGCGGAACGTGCAAACTTAACTGCTGCGCCACTGGGCCGGCCCCTCTTTCACAGTCTTATAACTGCACTCTTTCAACACATTACCTTTCATCTCCCCCTCTTCTTTGTTCTCTTTCTGTGCTCTCAGGACTTCTCCCTCCTGCTGCCACAGTTAATTGGCTGTGTAAAGAGCTGTTAAAGGCTGAGGCTGGCAGATGGGACTCGTCTCCCCTGCCACAGTCTTCGTGTCCCCCCTTGTCCTTTCCTGCCCTCACCACCACACATACACATGAATACACTCTTTGTTGTAAAGAGAGGGAGAGAATATAGAGCTGAAGATAAGCAACAAGAAGAAGGGGTCAGGGAAAGGCAGCTCCTATTTGGTGAATTTGTTTTTCAATAGTTCTGAGTAAAGAAGAGGGCACCCAGGTTTGAACCCTGAGAAATCCTATGTTTGGTGGTCTGGTGGAGGAGTGGATTGAGGAGGGCGTGAGAGGTGAGGAAGTGAAGACAGAATGTAGAAATTCTTTCAAGTAGTTTGGCTGTGAAGGAAAACAAATAAATGAAGGTGGTGGCTGGAGGTGAATAAGGGGTAAAGGAAGCGTTTTGTTGGTTTGTTTGACTTAGATAGGAGACAATAGTGCACGTTTTTGTGTGAATGTGAACATAACCCAGTAGGGAGAGAGAAAGTGGATAATGCAGGAGAAAGGAAGGATATCAAATGAGCAAAGTTCTAGAAAAGGTGAGAGAGGACTAGAAGAGAGCAGAGTGGAGGAACTAGCCATTCTGCTAGGAATAACGGTGCTATCAGGTGTGACAGGGAAAGAAGAAGATGAGCAGATACAGATGGGTTCATGTTCTGATGGTGGAAAGATAAGAGCGCAAGGGAAGGTCATGATTGAAAGTGCTGATCTAAGAGCAAGGCCTAATTAGGACCTCAGTGCTCTGGATCCAAAGCGTCAGTGACTGCTCTTCTTCCCTCACAGATGCAGTGAAGCCCGCCATCTATAAGGTGAGTGAGGAACTCGCTCCGTTAGCCGAGGCTCCGTCTTCCAGAGCCTCCCCTTACTGATTTCACAGTGAGTCTCCTACCTCTGAAAAATCTCCCCAGTCTCTGGATTGAACACTGATTTGTGCCTTTGTTCCAAACAGTGGGTATCCCTAACCCTAGTCCTGTCTCTTCTGTCCTTGCAGGCACAATGTGTGGCAACCCTTCAGGTGGGGTCTGTGCAAGCTTCGGACCCCTCCGAGTGTGGTCAGTGCCTTAGCCTGGCCTGGATGCCCACCCGGCCCCACCACCACCTGGCTGCTGGATACTATAATGGTAAAAAACAAAACAAAACGTAAGGAGCTATTGCTCTTTAAACTTTTATATATGCTTAGTTTTTGGTGGTTATTTCCTTTTGGTTCAGTTTTGGGCATTATGTAGTTAATAAATATTCAAGCAATATAAAAAAATACAAAGAAGAAAAAAGTCACTACAATTTTTCTACTCAGAAAAAATAATTGAGTTGATGAACATCATTTCATGGAGTTCTTTATGCATATATAAAGATAAAAAGATTCAATGGAGAGAAAGAATTTTATAAAAAGGAGATTTTATGCTATGAGTTATTTTAAATTGAAAAGTATTAAATTTAATTATACTTTAATTTTAAAGAAGACAAGTGAAACTGAAAGATTAGCTAAGCTCCCAGTAAATGTTCCTTTACCACAGAGACCTTGGTTCCTTAAAGACACTTGTAAGATGAAAAAGGAAAAAAAACGATTATAAATAACGTTAAGTAGCTTGTGTTATTAGGTTGTTGTTGTTAAGTGACAATTTCACTTTTAGACATTGTCGGTAGACTTTCTGCAAGGGAGGTAAGGAGATTAGCACTCTTAACACTTCTTCCTATCATCCCTCTCTCCGTCTTCTAATTGTGTTTCTTTTGGTGGTATTATTCTTACATTGTCAAAGTGCATGATACTTGATGCTGTTTTGTCTTAATTCCCAGCGTTATTTAATCTTAATTCTATATTAAAATGATTTCGTGTCTCCACCAGTCCTTTCATCTCGGTCTCCTCCTCCATTGCTGAATTATTTATATTGCTTAGCTATAATTCATTGTCAGTAAATTTTTTTAAGAAAGGTTCATACATTTCCTGAGTTTATGTATAAAAGAAGTTTTAGCTACAAATATTTTCTTACTGTTCTTTAATTCGTGTTGTTGTTATTTATTTATTTTTTTTACCAAAGTTATCCTTTTGATTACCTCCTCCTCTGCCAGCCTGGTCAGAGGTCAGCTTGTTTTGGGTCAGCCGAGTTCATTTCTGTTTGTCCATTTGCTTTCTGTTCCTCTACATTTTGTTGCTTTTGCTCCTTGCCTGTTCTCTTTGTCTTAGAACAGAGTTGGCAAACATTTCCATAAAGGTCCAGATAGTGAATATTTTATGCTTTGTGGGTTGTTGGGCCATTGTTGGAACTACTCAACTCTTCCATTGTAAAGTGAAAGCAGCCATAGACATTAGGTAAACGAAGGGTGTGGCTGTGTTCCAATCAGACTTTATTTACCAAAACAGGTGACAGGCTGTATTTGGCCCATGAGCTGTAGTTTGTCAATCGTTGTCCTAGAAGGTTTATGCTTTTTAAAAATCTCTTTACTTCTATTTAGTAGAGAGGAAAGGCTACTGGGTGCATTCAGCCTATCTTTCAACTACAGGTCCCAGACTAAGCTATTACTTTTTTTTTTTTTTGAGGAAGATTAGCCCTGAACTAACATCTGCCGCCAATCCTCCTCTTTTTTGCCAAGGGAGACTGGCCCGGAGCTAACATCTGTGCCCATCTTCCTCTACTTTGTATGTGGAATGCCTGCCACAGCATGGCTTGACAAGTAGTGCATGGGTCTGCACCTGGAATCCGAACCAGCGAACCCCGGGCCGCCAAAGCAGAACGTGTGAACTTAACTGCTGCACCACTTGGCCAGTCCCCTAAGCTATTACTTTTTGTTGATGAGAATTGGAGCTAAAATATCAGGTTGAGTCTTTAAACCCTGGAGGGAATGTTAGGTAGCTAATCATGATTCCTATATCCTTTCATAAGGGATCCTATCTGAGGGTAGAAGACAAAGGTCCTAGGAGCCCAGAGAAAGAAATTAGAGCAAGGAAGAGAAAACCTGCCCTTAATACCTACACATTCTGCCCCTACCTCAGGCATGGTGGTTTTCTGGAACCTTCCCACTAACTCACCCCTGCAGCGGATACGGCTCTCTGATGGTTCCTTGAAGCTCTACCCCTTCCAGTGTTTCCTAGCCCATGACCAGGCTGTGCGTACCCTTCAATGGTGCAAAGCTAACAGGTATAGAATAAGAGACTTGTGGATGTGGGAGGTAAAGACTGGGACAGGCTGACTCTTCCAGAGTGGTTCAGCTTTGATCTTCTCTCTCTTCTCCCACCTTTCCATAGTCATTTCCTAGTCTCTGCGGGGAGTGACCGGAAAATCAAATTCTGGGACCTTCGACGACCTTATGAACCAATAAACTCTATCAAGCGCTTCTTGAGTACAGAGCTCGCCTGGCTTCTCCCCTATAATGGTGTCACTGTGGCTCAGGACAACTGCTATGCCTCGTACGGCAGGATGGAAATAAGAGGAGCTCTGGGAACAGGCCCTAAGGGTTGGGGTGCAAAGTGTGCTGGATTGTTATGGGGAGAGAAGGGTTGAAAGTTGTTTCACTGAGATAGTTTGAATTTTGCAATCGGGGAGAAGAAATGAATCTAATCTTAGAAAAAGGAAGGTTTTATTTTCTCTTTCGCCTACAGTTTTGGACTCTGTGGAATTCATTATATTGATGCTGGTTACCTTGGTTTCAAGGCCTACTTTACTGCTCCTCGAAAAGGCACCGTCTGGGTAAGCCCTTCTCTTCAAAATCTTCATTACACAGGAAAACAATTCCTTTGCTCACCTAGTGGTGGTCAGGAAGAGGCAGTAGTTTTGGATAGAAGGAGAAGATAGGTGTGTGGTAACCATCATCAGGGACATGGGTTCTGGTAAACTCATTTTTGTTTATGTGTGTGTCTTTCCCTACTCAGACCGTGCAGTTGTTACCAGTTCACAGAGCTGAATGACTATAAGTGAGTGAGTGAATGAATGAATGAAAGAAATCTGTCTCTTCCTATTAGAGTCTTTCAGGATCCGACTGGCTTGGGACAATAGCCGCAGGAGATATATCCGGAGAGCTCATTGCAGCTATATTGCCTGATATGGCACTGAACCCAATAAATGTCAAGCGACCTGTAGAGCGAAGATTCGTATGTATATGAATATTTACTAGCAGCACCATCTGTTGGCTCCTAATCCCCATGGCCTCCCGAATTAGTATTACAGATCAGTAGTAGAGTACAAACCAGTATTAGGTCTCCCAGCCCTGCTATTGTCCCTGAAAGTCTTAGTATAGAATTGTACATAATCTTCCCTACCCTAGTGCTTCTGAACATATGTTTAAACATACTACTTTCTTCCATCTTTAAGTCTCCTGCCCAAAACCAATATTATCTCTCTCTTTTTTTTTTGGTGAGGAAGATTGGCCCTGAGCTAACATCTGTTGCCAATCTTCCTCTATTTTGTATGTAGGAGGCCACCACAGCATGGCTTGATGAGCTGTGTGTAGGTCCACACCCGGGGTCCGAACCACTGTGAACCACAGGCCGCCAAAGGAGAGTGCACAAACTTAACCACTACACCACCCAGCCAACCCCTCAATTTTGTCTCTTATACTTTTATTCTATCTTCAGTATTATAGAACCTAATCTCATGGTCTTCTTTCTAGCCTATATATAAAGCAGATCTGATGCCATATCAGGACAGTCCTGAAGGTCAAGACCACTCTTGTGCTTCATCTGGGACCCCTAACCCTCCCAAGGCTCGAACTTATGCTGAAACTGTCAACCATCACTACTTGCTCTTTCAAGACACAGATTTGGTAAATTGAGGCCAGGAGAATGGGTGTGGCATTAGAAAAAGTAGAAGACTTTAGTCCTTTTATACTAGGGAATCCTAAGGAGTTCCAGCGCAAAGCTGCCAGACTAAGAAGCTGCTCACTTTCTCTCTCCTATTACACCCTCCCTCCCCAGAGTTCATTCCATGGTCTGCTCCATAGAGAACCAATGCTGCGCATGCAGGAGGGAGAGGGGCATTCAAAGCTCTACCTGGACAGGCTGCAGCTAGAGGCTATTCACAAGGTGAGAACCTTGTCTCTTCTCTACCCTTCATTCTCGTTTTCTCCCAACTCTGGGCCTGTGATCAGTGAAATGGGAGATGAAAAGGTCACAGAGACAGCTGAGAAGGGAAAACAACTCTAGCAACCTCACCCTCCAGAGCATGATAGACATACTTCATTCATTGTCTACTCATTCCTACCTTTCTTATTCCATTGTGGTCCTGTCTTTTCAGATCGTGGCTCATTTTTTTTTTCTTACAGCTAGGACTCACCCTAAAGTACCAACTGTGAGCACCTCTTTTGTTTTCTGTTCTCTTCACAGGTACGTTTCAGCCCAAACCTGGACTCCTATGGATGGCTGGTATCTGGGGGGCAGTCGGGGCTGGTTCGGATCCATTTTGTCCGTGGACTCACCTCCCCACTGGGCCACCGTATGCAGCTTGAAAGCCGAGCCCACTTCAGTGCTATGTTCCAACCATCCTCCCCTACTAAAGGGCCTGACTTCCCTCTAACCAGCCACTGCCTTCTGCCCAGTCCCTAGTCATGGTCCGCACAGGACCCTTGGAATGAAGTCTGCCAAGAACACATGGCCCCCATGCACAGAGCCATAGGAACTGGGGCCTTCCTGGACAGTGATGCTGCCAGGCCTGGACTTTTACTCCTGCCTCCCCAGGACTCCTTAGAACCCTCTTCTTCCACAGACTTCTGTCATCACAGCCCCCTGCGGGCAGGGGGGTTCTCCCTCCACAAACTCTCAAGGCTCCTCAGCCTAAAACTATAGCTCATGAGAAACACTCAGGCCTGACCTAGGCTTGGGAGTCAAATTGCTCATATTGAGCATATTGTGAAGTGGGTAAAGCTAAGTAAAGGTACTGGGTGTTTTTGAGACCACATGTGAGTGGGTGTTTGGAGAACTGGAAAGGGTATCTGCATGAAGGCTCCTGTTTGTCTGTATTCCAGGATCCAATGTTACTGCCTTCCATAATTTCCTGTTTAGAGTAACCAACACACAGGCCCATGAGAGGGTGATGGTAATTTATTGAACTGAAGCTGCTTATAGTACTTCTTTAGCTGAGAAACACCAGAAACACCCTACCAATAGAACAATGGCTCAGATCTTACTTGCTCCTGCTTATGAAATATTCCTGATGACTGGTCGTCTGACCCTATGTGAACAAGTCCAGACAGTCATGTTTTAAAAAAAAATCTTCCTTTATATCAAGTCAGAGAGTATATCTCTATAAATTTTACCATGGGTGTTAGGAAATCTAGTCATTCTTCCCTGTGACTGCCCTTTTAAGTATTTAACAATAGCTATCATGTGTTTCCCAAGTCTTTTCTTCTCTAGATTAAATATCTTTAGTTACTTTAACCATTCTTTTACACGTCATGATTTTTGATCTTTCATGATATTGTCACATTGTTGACTTATTAAACATGCTTAGCTACTTTATTTCAGCTTTCTCTATAGGAGGTGTTTAGAACCCAAGTACAGTAATGTATTGTTATATCTCATCTTGTTAGAGTCCTCTTGTGGGATGCTGCAGACTCATAGTGACTGCAGTACTGCCTCCTATGCAAAGACAGACCCCAGCAATGAGAAATAGGCAAACCATAGTCTTGGAATATATAGGAGTACTATTTGAGGCTTGAGGGGAAGTAGTCAGATGACCTCAGGAAACAGAGAAAAATATGCAGCCAGCTCCCGTTGAAGGCCATGGAGATTAGTTTAGTGCCCTCCTGGAATTAGACCCTGTGGCACTTTAAACTGATTGGCCCAGATTAGACTGAGCAGATTTCTGCTTCTTCAGTGTAGGGAATTTATCATACGTCAGAAAATCTTCTCTAAGAAGAAAGGAATCAAGTGGTTCAGTTCCCTTCCTGTACAGAAGAGGAAACAGACCTGGAGGAAACACAGACCATTAGCAGCAGAGGGACCTCAACTCATGCCACTGCATAGGACCATCCTATTGTGATCTAGCTCATATTATGCCAGTATTGTTTTTTAAGCTCACCAATAAGGAAGTGCCTTCCTTTGCAGAGAAGCTTTGCTTATTCTACCCAGCGGCCCCTTGACACTACACCATGAAATCCCACTCTCAGTGGTAGGAAAGATGGATCCTGGAGACCCACGCTATTGAGGCCATAGGTTGATGCTGCTAGCCCTGCTCCTGCTTCTGAGTCTCTGCCCTCATCCCCACCTCCAAAAGGAAATCAGGAAGATGCTTTCAGCTCTTGCTCTCTTTTACTACCGTAAACCTTTTTCTCCCCACGCCACTCCCCTTCCAATCCTCCCTCCTAGCATATCCACTTTATGCTACCCATGAGTTCCTGCACTTTTCTACCTTTGTGCCTTTGCTCACATTATTCCCTCCTTCAAGAGTGTCCTTTCTCCGCCGTCTCCACCAAAGACCTATTCATCCTTTAAGGTCCCAGCTCAAATCCCACCTTCACCAAGGAGCTTCCCAGATTTCTCCAGTGAAAATTACTCTCCCTCCCATGTATTCACAAGAGGGAAGGAAGGAAAAGAGGATAATCAAGTGTCTATTAAGCACTTGATCTATTTCAGGTACTTTGCTTATGTTACTTAATCATATGAGGTAGGTATTGTCCCATTTTACTTGATGAAGAAAGATTCTGAGGATAAGCAGTCTGAATAAGGCCACATAAGTAGTAAGTAATGGTGCTGAGATTTGAACCTAGACAATCTTGACTTCAGAATACAACTTTCCAACCTACCAAGTTCGGTCTCCTATTACGTTTACTAGTGTAAATTCACTCCTCTAGCACAGTGTTTTGCACATAGCAGCCTGTAGTTAAACATAACATATTTTCTTGCTTCCTTGCTGTGTCTTCAGTATCTGTGACAGGATTCTCACTGCCTTAATCACGTAGGAATTGAGTAAGTTGAGGCTGGACCTAGCCAGGTAGAGAGCCTGAAAGAGTCAGATATGGCTGCCCCCTGAAGTGTGCGCTCCCTGGAAGTAGTTGAGCGAAGACTGCCAGTCTGACAGGGATCTTGGAGTTTCTATCATCCTAGAAAGGATGTTGTACTATATTCACAAAATTTTAGGCTATTAGAGCTGGAAAGGGATTAAGAAATCCCCTAATCTGCTGGTTTTTAAACACTTTTTGTTGTGAGCCCCTTTGTTTAAAAGTGGCTCACTCAAAGTGTGTGTGTGTATATATGTGTATATATATACACATATATATATTTATAAGTATATATATTTAAAGTTGAGGTAAAGAACCTGTAGTGATACCCACCCTCCAACATCTCATAAACCCTTAAAACTGAGGGGCCCAGTTTGAAAAACACATAGCCTAACTCCTCCGTTTCACAGATGAGGAACCTTAAGTTTAAGTCTAGTGATGACCAAGGCTGCATAGCCCGCTAGTTATGAAACCAGTACCTAAACCTGAGGTTCTATAATCCCTAGCTTTCCACGGAGGAGTCATGCAACATTTCTAAAGGCTATTGTGGACAAAGCACTGAATTAGTTGGTTTGAGGAAGACAAATATGAACAAGACCCAGTGCCACCCATTCAGGAGCTCACAATTGAGGCTAGTGAAGACCTAGGGACAAAAAACAGCACATGCGCGCACTTAATCTATCACTTATAGTCACCAAACCGATTCCTGACAGAAGGACGTCAGGACCCTGGCCAGCTCCGCGACGAGGGAGCAGTAAGGGTCTCCCCAGGTTGAGAGGCTCGGACATCGGGGAGGGCAGGGGAGGCGGAGGCAAAGGTCCGACCCAGGTAGAAGGAAATATGGAAGGCGAGCCCCATACAACGACCCGGTGCAGTCCACTTGGAAAAGGGCTCGCTCACAGACCGAGCTGAGCCGCTCTCCACTGGCGTTAGTTGCTCAGTCCACTCCCACTCCTGCCCCTGGCGCAGAGGAAAGCCTCTTAGCCAGCCGGGCGGATGGGGCGGGGCTTGTGGCGGAAGTCTGTGCCTGCTCAGGTCTCGCGGGAGGGGCTGAGCTCGTGCCCAGGTGAGTAGCCGGCGTTCCGCAGTCACCGGCTCAAAGTGCACTGAGCCACGAGCGCCCACAGTGCCTGTGGCCGTTCCAGGCTCTATTTCTCGTGTAGAGTTGGACTCAGGAAAGATGCGGGCTGTTCCTACTAAGAATGTGAATCCGGGGACCGACCAGGCTCTGGGTGAAAGCCAGAACAAACCTGTCCTCTTGAGTGCCTTGGTCGGGTCAGAGGACCCCAGGTGGCCCTGCTTCGGGCTGGGGGTGGGGTGGCAGGTGGCTGCCACCGGGATTCTATAGCCGCCCACAGCCTTCCTCTCTCCCCCGATTGTCTAAGGCGACTCCTGTGACAGGAAGCTGTCCAGGAAGCATCCCTCCTGAGGCCTCTGCCCCCTTAGGACATATTGGAAGTGGGGAGAGGGAGTGGGCACAAGGGAAAGTCAAGCGTCTCTGATTATGGGGAGGGGCAGTGGGGGTGACCCCTCTCCTCTTGGATTGACAGGAAGCATGGCACTCTGGCGGGCATACCAGCGGGCCCTGACTGCTCACCCGTGGAAAGTACAGGTCCTGACAGCTGGTGAGTGTTCTGGGACCTGAGTGGGACCAGAGCAGGCTGATTTGGGAGGCAGAAGCTCACCCCACCGCACCTCTCATTTTTTTTCTTCTGTTCATCTCCCTCGAAGGTTTGGTCTCTGTCATCCCAAGCTGTCCCCAGTCTGTTTTGGAGGGTGGCTCCCCAAGGCTGTTCTTAAGGAAAAGGGTATGCATAATTGGCCTAGCTGTGAACTAGGATCTGAAAGTCCTCAAAAAGCTGAGGAGGGGGCCGGCCCCATGGCTGAATGGTTAAGTTCGCGCCCTCTGCTTCCGTGGCCCAGGGTTTCACAAGTTTGGATCCTGGGCGCAGACCTGGCACCGCTCATCCGCCATGCTGAGGTGGCGTCCCACATGCCACAACTAGAAGGACCCACAACTAAAAATATATACAACTATGTACCAGGGGGCTTTGGGGAGAAAAAGGAAAAATTAAAAATCTGAAAAAAATAAAATCAGGGGCCGGCCCAGTGGCTGAGTGGTTCAGTTCTCGCACTCCGCTGTGGCGGCCCAGGGTTTCACAGGTTTGGATCCTGGCGCAGACATGGCACCACTTCTCAGGCCATGCTGAGGCAGTATCCCACATGCCACAACTAGAAGGATCCACAACTAAAACATATAACTATGAACTGGGGGGATTTGGGGAGAAAAAGCAGCCAAAAAAAAGATTGGCAACAGTTGTTAGCTCAGGTGCCAATCTTAAAAAAAAAAAAAGCTGAGGAGTCATTCCTTAAGAAGAAAAGCATTACCCCAGAAGGCCTTAATTTAGAAAACTAACAGTAACAAACACTCCTCTAAGATTTTACAGTGTGCAAAACACTTTCAAATACATTATCTTACAGGGTCCCCACAAAGGTCTGCGAGCTAAGATTACTTGAGTCCACATTAAATCACACCCTAATAAGTGCTGGAATCAGGACTCTTACACCAGTTTATTTTCCTTAGTATTTTTTTTATCTTGAAATATATCTTAACATACAAAAGAACAATTAAGACGTGCACTGTTTGAATAGTATCAAAACAATATTCCTGTATCAGTACCCAGCTTTGAGACCCCTTGAGTGCCTCTCCCTAATTCATATGCCCCAAGAGATAATCACTTTCTTGAGTTTTGTTTGTATCATTCTTTTGCTTTGCTTAATAGTTTTACTACCTATGTATGTATCCCCAAACAATATACTAATCAAGTACTAATTACATAATATTAAATACTAATTACATAATACTAAATACTAATACAGTATACTAATACTAATTTTTTTTTTACTCCAAATCCAGTGATTGAGTAGCAACCTCACAAAGGTAACCCAGTGACTTACCTGCATTTGTTACTATCTTCTTTTTGCAGATTAGCTAATGTAAGAGCAGATGGTACAAAGATAAATAAGTTTTATAGCGGGAAGGATTAGAAGGATATGACTATCAAGGCAGTGCAAGAGTGATCAGATTAAGATGGGGTCTTGCCTAGTTTGGAGGAAGAGAACAGAATTTTAATGAAGACCATGGGCTTCTGAGAGCAAGACTCTTGAAAGGGATGGGGGGCTATGGAAGCCAGGGTGGAACAGAGATCCTGTTACTGGAATAGCTCCACATCAGCACTAGAAACTTCACTAGGTGACTGGCCAAGGGATGGACTCCTTTGCCCCTCCCTGGGCCCCTCTCTAGCCTCCTATGCCCAACCACCCCATGTACTGTCCTCAGAGTGTCCGTCAGCCTGCATGACTCACCTGGCTGCGTGTGTGGTGACTCATGCTGGACTGTGTGGCTGTGATGGGAACTGACACGCTGGGCCCTTTGCCCAGCCTCAAATTCCCTCAGGACCCCTAACTCCCGGAAGGAAGGTTCCCCATCATGGCCATCAAGAATAGGGAGGGAAGGATAGTCCTTGTGTTTCCCTCCCAAGGGATCTGCAGCTGACATGGGCAGGAGCTAGAGCTCCAAGGGGCCCAAGTGCAGACGTGTGGCTGAACTGGGGTGCTGGTCTGTCACTGCTCGAGCCTTGTGGCTCCACACCCCCAGTCTTCCTGAGGCTGTGCCAACATTTCAGCTCAGCCCTGAAGATACCTCTAGGTAGCAGTTTCCTCAGACTTTTCCAGACCTTTCAGGCTTTTCCTTTCCTGCTGCTCAGTGTATTTGGATCAAACTACAAATCAAGGGAAGAGGTAAGTTTAGCTTACTGAGCTGTTTTTAGACCCCCAGAACAGTAGTTCCTAAGGTCCCATGGGATCACACTGGAAAATAGAATAGAGATTTCAGACTTGGGATTAGAAGATCAAGATTTGGATCTCAGAGCCATGGCACTTAGCTGTGTGAACCAGAACAAGTCAATAAATGTCTTTGAGCCTCAGTTTTCCTCATTTAGAACTTGAGTTTAGTTATATGATCTCACAGTCAGTGTAGGGATTATCTCTGTGAAAAGCTTTAGAAATCAAAAAATACTGAATAAATTTAAAAGGCACTAGGGATTGGCTCTTTGTATGAGTGTTGGCAACCCAGGCACAACAATCTATTCTTTTTATAGTGGTGTTTGGGTTGGCTTTGTTCCACCTGCCATAAATCTGAACATGGATAACTGTCTTAGCCTTGGTTCTCCGAAAAGCAGAGCCTGAAGCTTCTGTGCAGGTACTTTGTAAGGGAGTAGGAAGCGATCCCATGGGGGGAAGAGGGAGAGCTGATATAAGGATGCATCATCAAATTGGACACTGCTTAGGGCACCTGGCCACTCAATCCCTTAAAACTGACAGAGAAGCTCTTTGAAATGCCTTTTAGGACTCTATGGGTGAATAGTCTTTTCTGGAGAAAAGGAGAAACTTTTACCCACCAGCGCCCATTCCATATTGGTCAAAGGTTCATCACATGGGATGTTAATGCTTGTGTGCTACCAGGTTGCACATGCATAGTCCTCAGGTAAAGCATCAACAGCGCAGCCCCAGGTATAGCATGGGCCTAAGGCAAGGAATCTATCAGATCGAACTGCACTAGTGGCTGGAGTAAGAGAGAAGTGAATCAAGAAAATCTGAAATGGTTCAAAAGAAGTATCTGACACACCCAGTTTTGGCCAAGCCGGAATCGGGGAGGGCAGCCTGCTGTGTGTTCTGCAGAGTCTGAGTCAGCCTTATCCTGTTCTTTCTTGAGGACCCTTCCGGTCTCCAGTGGGCCCAGGGCCCAGCTCCATCCATCTTAGGCCACCTGGTCCTGCTGTGGGAGCAGCTGAGCTTCTGCAGACACTAGTTTCCCTGGAATCTGAATTGAGCCAGGAAGTGAGAGCTCAGTAGGCATTAGAGACCATCCAGTCCAGCCACTAATACTACAGAGAAGAAAACTGAGGCAAGAGGGGGGAGTGACATGCACTAAGGTCTCACATGGTCAGTAGTGGAGCTAGCATTAGAACCTGGGGCACTTCCCAATGTACTGCCCTGTACTTGAGACTCCTGGGGCCTCAGAATGCTAAGTGTAGCCCCAGCTTGTCTGGGCTTAGATACCTCACAAGCTGCAGAACCTTCCAGTTTGTCTCAATTTCTAGCTGTAGGACGGGTTCAGGCCAGGTATGGAGAGAGCATTCAGACCAATCCAAGAGGATGCACTCTTCCCTCTCACTGCTGGACTTCAGCTCCCTCGGGGCTCTGGCAGACCAAGCCCCTGCCCCAGGCAGCTATTTAGTTATTGGAGACTTTTGGGGAGGAATGTGTTGACAGCACCACTGGCCCCATGCCGGTTCCTATACCTGCTGACCCAGGCCTCCTACACTCAAGGACTCCCTGCTTCTCATTCCAACTTCCTGCCCCTCTGCCTTCTCATCTTCCATTAACACTTTATTTTCATGCATTTAAAACTCCATGCACAAAAGCCAGAAGAGGAACAAAATAGAGGAAATAGGGAATTTGCCCTGACCTGTGCTTAAGAAAAGGGTATGAAGTTGGGGCTTTTTCACTAGTGGGCAGGGAGTGGTCCCAAATAGATCTGTGCTCAAAGGTAGGCTGTCCCCCACCCCGCTACTCTGCTGGATCTGGTGGCGAGTGATGGCATGAGAATTGGCACCTACCCAGGGGTATGATGTCACACCCACGCCAGCATCTGCCCGCTGGGCTCTGTGCCCAGCCTGTCATTGGGGCACCACTACCCGGCAGCCCCTTGCCCTGCCTCATCGGGGCTGGGGCATTATGACTCTGCAGGCCTCCAGCCTCAACCCTCTGGAAACAAGCCCAAGGAAAGGGGAGCCAGAGCACCGGAAGATCCAGATCAACCTAATATGTGCAGAAGGATTCCCAGAGCCTGGGGTGTTTGGGTCTGCTTGGGCCCTGGGGTTGGGGAAGATGGAATGAAGAATCTGAATGGCAGCCCTTCCTGTTCAAACAATCACTTGGACTGGAAATGCAAGCCTTGCTCTATGCTTTGACCAAAGCCGGAGACCACCCTGGAGTTGCTGCAGGCCAGGAGGCCTGATGATCTGCGGGCAGAGGAGGAACCTCTGGGCACTGGTCTGTCAGAAATGGACAGAACTAGCAGGGGCTACAGAGCTACACACCACCTTCTGACTCCTGTGGCTACCCTTTCACTTGGTGGTCCCTCAGGCTTGATGGGTGTGGTTTGGGGGCCTGGGAGCCATCTTTCTCAAAGGCTGCAGGCTGCCAGGACTATGGGGCTAGAAGTCAGGGACTTTGGTTTTCATTTCTGCTCTGCCTTTAGCTTGTGTGACTGTTGGCAAACCATGAAGAGTGAAAACACATACCTCTCTTTGTGACTCCTTCCTTCCCAGGAATATTGCTGCTTGCCATCCCCAGAGGTGGTCACATTCTGAGCAGTAAAAGAGGGAGGAAGAGCATTAGTCCAGGAAGTGTCTTTGATATGTGGGCCTTTGGGACCTTGTTTGGGCAGGAACCCCCTGCCAGGAGCAGCTGTAGGAGCCTCTTGGCGCCCTCTGGCCCCTAAGCCCAAGTCTCGGTCTGTCCTGGGAATTCCCTGACCTGTTCCTCCCTGGGAGAAGGCCTGGGTTCAGGTCCCAACTCCACTCCTTACCGTCACCTCATCTCTCAGAGACATTAAGTGGATGTGTGACCCCTTACCTCCCAGACCTTTTGTGATGATTAAATGTGTGGGAACCCTTTGTAAACTGTAAACATCTTGCCAAAGCAGAATGTTCAACTGTTAGTTCCTTCATTTAAGAAGTGACCACCTTTTTATTCCACCCTGCCCAGGCCTTCTCAGGGTCACGCTGCCATTTATGCGTGGCCACAGCAGCTCCCTCCTCCCCGTAGTGCAGCTGGTGACCCCAAGTTGTCAGAGGGGGAGAGGGAGTTAAGTCCTGGCTGCATGAGTGGGGAGCAAGCCCTCAATACCACTGGTCCTCACACCTTGAGCCTGACCTTCAGTCCTTCGGGCTAGACTTTTCAGAGCAGTCCTGTTGTTTGGAGTGATACATTTGACATATTTCCTTGGTATATTTTCTGAGCACCTGCCCAGGGCTCTTTTAGGTGTGGCAGGGGATAAGAGAACAACGATGTCTAAGATTCTGTCCTTGTCCTCTGGGAGGTCGTGTGTAGGCATGTTCTGGGAAAAGCTTCCACCACTTTGGGAGTTTGAGGGAGAGAGGAAGCAGGGTTGCCTTAACAGGTGTGCTGAGGGTCCCAGAGCTGCTTCATGGCTGGGAGTGCCAGCAGCCTAGGTCACCTATGGGTGCCCCAGCTCCAGCCCCAGCCCTAGCTGTCAGCCTTACCCAGCTTCCTCTGACGAGGCTGCTCAGGGGCAGGACTGTGCAGAGAGTGCGGGGGAAGAGCAGTGAGTGTGCAGCCAGCACGGACGTCAGAGCCAGCCAGGCCAAGGAATGGGGTTGAAGGATGTGTTTGCCCAGTGCTAATTGAGGGCACAAGGACAGTGGTGGTTATGGGGCTGGAGGGGGGCTCTTATTACTCAGTGAGATGGGCAGGCGAGCTGGAGATCACATGGTCACTCCCAAGTGGCCCTATAAATGTATGTTTGCTAGAAACCATCACGCCACCATAACTGACAGGGGGTCTGTAAATAGTGGTGATTTCTGTCTTGTTTTGTGGGTGTGGGTATCTGACTAGTGCTGCTTGGAGCTGGGTGTCTGTGCAAGTGAGGGGAAGAGAAGTGGATGCAAAGGCCTGGGGGAGAAGTGGCTATAATACCTATTGCCAGCTCAATCTGAGGTTGTGAATGGGGAAGTCTGGGTTTACCTGATTGTGCTAAGAAGTGACCAGGACTCTTCCTCGTGGGGACTCTTACCGGCTAAACCAGTCATCTTCCTGCTGGGACCATTTGAGCACTCATGTTTTAGAAAAAGTTATTCTTGCTGTTCTCCACAAATAGAGCTCCCCAAAACCAAGGTGAAGGGCATTGGTCAGGGTCTTACCTTGCACTGGGGGAAAAAACCCAGGGTTCCTTACCATTCTATACATGATCTATTCATCGTGTGGTGTCCTGGAAAGAACACTGTCTAGGAAGTCAAGCCACCTGGTTCTTGCCTTGGCTCTGCCACTTACTGGTTATGTGAGGTCCCAGACCTTCATTTCCATACCTCTAAAATAAGGGGTTTGGATGGAATTGTCTGGAAGGCCTTTCCAATTCTAACAGTCCATGGTTCTCAGCTCTTGATACCTTAGATTCTTTTTGCTCTATCTGCAGTTTCTGACTCTGACTTCCCTTTGTTGCTCAATACAGAGTTCTTAGGCCCTGGCCTGCTCAAGGCTGCCCATCTCAGTTTCCAACAGGATGCATATGAGATATCACCCTCCTTGGAGAGGTATCACCATCCTTGAGGCAACAGGAAGGGACTAGCCATTTGCCCCAGAATTAAGCCCTTGGGCTCAGAGTGCCAGAGCCTCATTTGGGGACTTTCCTCCCTCCTTGGAGTGGCAGCCTATCCCCAGGAGGTGTCCTGACAACACCCATATGCCTTTCACAGGGTCTCTGATGGGTCTAGGTGACGTTATCTCACAGCAACTGGTGGAGAGGAGAGGTCTGTGGGAACACCAGACTAGCCGGACTCTGACCATGTTCTCTCTGGGCTGTGGCTTTGTGGTAAGTTCTGCCCACAGCAGGGCTGCTGGTGGATTGGACAGTGGTCTTAGTTCTGTTTGGTTTCCCCTGGCCTCTCTCATATCTGAGCCAACCTTGAGTTTCTGTTTCCCCTGGGATTTGGCTTCTAATACTCAAGGAGAAACTTTGTGATATAAAAGCCAAGTGCTCCCCTCACTACATCCCTGCTCCCCTCTCTGGGCTTTACTTTCAGGGCCCTGTAGTAGGAGGCTGGTACAGGGTTTTGGACCGGCTCATCCCTGGTACCACCAAAGTGGATGCACTAAAGAAGATGCTGTTGGATCAGGTGAGCAGAAGGAAAAGGGAGTTGGGAAGGGTGAGCTATGTTGGGGGTGTGTTGGGGGTGTGTTGGGGGTCAGCTACTCACAGCACTTTCATTTCTCTTCCCTAGGGGGGCTTTGCCCCGTGTTTTCTAGGCTGTTTCCTCCCACTGGTAGGAGCAGTCAATGGATTGTCAGCCCAGGATAATTGGGCCAAACTCCAGCGGGTGAGCTGGACAGTGTGGGGAAGATCTCTGGCTGGCAGACTGGCAGGTCGGGAATGAGGCAGGGTTTGTGGAATGAGAAAGGTGAAGTGCAGCTAGATCCCAGGCTCTGGAGGGGAGGAGCTGAGGGGGTGTGATGCAGAAATACGTCCTTCGAACAGAAGTCTATGTGTGATATTTAGACTGGGAGGTGAGAGATGCTTGGAAATGCAAGTGTTAACTTGTTCCTTCTCTGTCTCCTTAGGATTATCCTGATGCCCTCATCACCAACTACTATGTAAGAGCTGACACCTCAACTGCCTGTTTTCCTGCTTCCTTGAATCCAGATGTGCCCAGGGATTGGGGTCCTCCTGACATAGAAGTCCCTCAGTTGGGATTGCTCTCTTGTTCCCAGTGTGGGCACATACTCAGGAAAGCGCTCACCCGGTTGTTCAATTTGTTCTTGTCTACAGAAGTTGGAGTAAGACCAGACAAGGCAGTGAGTCTGGGGGTCAGGTGATGGAGGCAGCTCCCCAGCATTTACATTCTCTCTCTTGTAGCTCTGGCCTGCTGTGCAGTTAGCCAACTTCTACCTGGTCCCCCTTCATTACAGGTATGACAGATCCCTACCCTACCCTTCAAGGAAGATCTATATTATGAACAGTTGTAGATGAAGTGATTCTCATTTCAACCTAGAACTACTTTAAAGATTTTATTTTTCCTTGTTCTCCCCAAAGTCCCCCAGTACATAGTTGTATATTTTTAGTTGTGGGTCTTTCTAGTTGTGGCATGTGGGATGCCACCTCACTATGGCCTGATGAGCGGTGCCATGTCCACACCCAGGGTCCAAACTAGCGAAACCCTGGGCCGCTGAAGCAGAGCACATGAACTTAACCACTCGGCCATGGGGCCGGCCCCCAACCTTGAACTACTTTAGACCCTCCAGAACCCTCTGCCCTGTTCAGAGCTCCTCAGACTCTCTAGCATTTTATTCAGAACCTCTTATCATTACAGAGCCTGTCCCAGGGTGTCTGCCCATTGCCCTTCTTCATCTTCCTAGGGAGGGTCCTGCTCCACACCCCTGGTCTCCATCCCACCTGAGCTCTCTACCTTTGCTGCGGGGACAGTTCCTGGGGTGCTGCAGCCTGGATTAGATAGAAAGGTAGCCCAAAGAACCAAGTAGGAACCTGGTCGGGTTGCTGTACTGCAAAGTAGCATTTTACCCTAATAATAAAGGTAGTTGCTGAAACCACAATAAAAAATATAGTGGAACTCAAGATGAGTAGTTAAAATTATTGGAGGTGAGGGGCGCTTTGAGAACAGGGAAAAATATGAAACTCTGTAGGGGGAATGTGGTCAAAATTTACATGAATAGCATTGCTAAAAGGAATATAGACTTATGAACCAAGTCTTAAACATTAGGGTCCTTGCAACACTCTTTGAAACTAAAGGAAGGTAAAGTTAAAAAAGAAAAGGAAGTTCTATTTTGTATGGCAGATGGCAGATAGTACATTTTTGGAAGATGAGAGCTCCTCAACTGGTACAAGACAGACAGATTTGTGTGTTTAGAAGGAGCCTGGACAGGGGTATGGATAGCAGAGCCATGCATGGCAAGATGGCTGCTGAGGTAGTTAAGTTTGAGGCTCTTGTCCAGAAGACAGTGTTCTGGGACACTACCAGAACCTAAGTTGGTTGTCCTCTGGTCTGAGCCATGCATCTTTCCATAGGGGGCTGAAGGAGAGAGACCTAAATATGGACATTCTCAGAGATAATCCCTCCTTTTTCACTGCACTTCCCATCTCTTTCCCCTTGCTTGCTCCTCATTCTTCCTTTTCTTCATGATGCCATTCCTGTTCCTTAGGTTGGCTGTTGTCCAGTGTGTTGCTGTTATCTGGAACTCCTACCTGTCCTGGAAGGCACATCAGCTCTAAGCCTGCCTCTCTCCGTTGTTTCCGCCTTGCAGTGATGCTGATTGGCTCAGGAATGGTCAGACAACCTCCTCAAAGTGGGCACATCAGTTTTCACAGGGTCCATTTGCTAGTCAGAACTTAATGGGGTTAGCACCATGAAGTGGCCCATTTCACTCCAAAATGTAAACTGATTCCTTTTGAAATCAGTAAAACCTTTATAATGGTCTTATAACCCATCACATCCATAAATATTTGTTGAACCAGATGATCTTGTCAACTTTAGTTTACACTCATATCCTGGCAAATGCCACCCATCCCCACTTTTCGTAGACACATCTGTTTCTCTAACCCTTCCCAGCCCTAGTGTAACTCCAGTTCTTTGGGGGCTCCCTCAAACTCTTTATATCATGCCTCCATAAATATGTTATTAAGTATGTAATCTGGAACCTGCAGAGGCAACGAGTAAGACTAACAGAAACCTATTGGAGAGTCAAAATTTCTAGAGCTGGAAAGAAGCCTAGAGACCACCAAGCCCAATCTTCCTTTACAGATGAGGACATTGAGGTCCATAGAAGCGAAGTGACTTGTCCACATCATGACTTAGTGGCAGAGTAGAAACTTGAACCCAAGTGCTAAAGAGTGAATGTTTGAATACCCCCCAAATTCATATGGTGAAAAGCTAATGCCCAAGGTGATGGTATTAGGAGGTCGGCCTTTGGGAGGTGATTAGGGCATGAGGGCAGAGCCCTCATGGGATTAATACCCTTATAAAAGAGGCTATGTTTGGACACAGCAAGTAGGTGCCATCTGTGAACCAGAAAGCAGGTCCTCACCAGACACTGAATCTACCTGTGCCATGATCTTGGACTTCTCAGCCTCCAGAACTGTAAGAAATAAATGTCTGTTGTTTATTAGTCACCCAGTTTATGCTTTTTTTTTTTTTAGAGCATCTCGAATGAACTAAGACGCCATGTTTCCTTATTTCCTACCCAGTGATCTTAACCTGGAGATCAAAGATATAAAAATGCTGCTTCTCTGATTCCCAGGAAAGTGTTAACTTGTCTAAGCTACCACTTTGGGACAAACTCAGAAGCAGATGGACCAACCTTTTGTGGTCTGAAAGCACCCTGAGGCCAGAGACCCTCTTTTTAGGGTGCCTCAGTCAGACAGCTCTAGAGTTTAGATCCTGGAGCTGGAATAAGGTCAAGAATCCTGGCAGACTCAGGCTGCCTCAGCTGCCTCTTGGGGAGTACCAAGGGGAGCTGAGTGCCAGCCGTGTGTTCCTGATCGTCTCAGTTTACAGAACGCATAGCTGGGGCAAGAGACTGGGTCTGAGCAGCGCGGCATTCTCCCAATGTCTCCGGCCCCTTCTAGAGGCAGAGGACAGGGTCAGCACCACGGACAGCCCCGCGGTTCAGCCTCCCTTTCGTGTACCAGAGAAGACTGGAGATCTGGACTAGTCTAGTCTGGGGACCGGCCCTCCAGTCACTGCTGGCTGTTCTAAGCGGGTGAAGGACTTTCGTGGCTCCCAGAGCAATCTTTACACTCCAGCCAGCCTCATGCCCCCTTGAGTCTGGTGTTGCTTCCAGCGCTAGCCCCAAAGACGCGAAGTCTCGTGTCCTGTGGCGTGCCCCTCGGGGTCTCGCAACTGGCTGGAGTGGAAGCTGCGGCCGTCATTGCTCTACAGTCAGTGCATGTTCCTCGCTGACGTCAGTCGGAGCTGTCCTGGCACTATAAAAGGCTGGCGGCGGTCCCAGGACAGACCCCAGTTCCCCAAGGCGCCCTCAGCCCGCCCCGAGGGACGAGACTGGAGCTCCGTCCTGCACCGTGCAGACGCTCTCCGGCAACCCGTGAGTGACTCGGAGCGTCCGCCCGAGATTCCTTAGCACCAGGACCCTGCTGCGCTCAGCTCACCCACCGAGACCCGCCAAGAGGGAGGGAGGGAGAAAAGGGTGGCACAGGACTGGGCAGCGGCTGGGGCTGGAGGGAAGGCTGTGGGCACCGGGAGGCAGCCGCAGGGGCCCGGCAAGAGCACTGGACGTGCACCGGAAGGAGGGCGGCGCCACTTGCGACTGTCCCAGGCGCACCTCACCCTGCGCTGCCCCTGTGTATTCAGGGCCGGTGGCACCATGAGGCAGGCGGGACGCGCGGCGCTGCTGGCGGCGCTGCTGCTGTTGGCACAGCTGCGCTCGGGGAGCAGCCAGTGGAGCCCAGAGGTGACGGAGGCCGGGGTCCAGGACCCGAGTCTGCGCTGGATTCCCGGGGTGCGAAACCAGAGCGGCGGGGCCCGCGCGCTCCTCTTGCTGCTGGCGGAGCGTTTCCCGCGCCGCGCGGGGCCCCGCCGATGGGTATCTGGGACCGCGGGCGAGCGGCCGCGACGGGACGACCCTCCACTGTCCATTGACCTCACCTTCCACCTGCTGAGGACCCTGCTGGAGCTGGCGCGGACGCAGAGCCAGCGGGAGCGCGCAGAGCAGAATCGCATCATATTCGACTCGGTGGGCAAGTGATCTGCAGGGTCCGGGGCCCCGAAAACCTCGACCTCCATCCCCCACCCCTGGGCTAGGAAGTGCGCGCCCGGAACTGCCCCAGTCCCACAGCTCTAGAACTGCCCAGGGATACCCTGAGCACTCTCTGCGTTGCTAGTTTTTAATAAAAGTGCTGAAGAGCCTTTGGCCTCTGTTGTGGGGGCGCGGGAAGCCCAGCGGGGTGAGAACTGTTGGGAAAGTGGGGACTCCCAGGCCGGCGGGAGGGAACCAGGTGCTGCAGGAGGGCTCCGCGAGAATGGCTTTCAGCCAAGGTCCTGTGGTCCTCAGCGTCCCCAAGTCCCCCAGGACCTCAAGTCCTGCTACCGCCGCATCATCCCCGACCCCTTTCCCTTGGCACTGGGCTCGCGAATCCGTGCCTGATATCAAGGAGGTGCCCAACTGGGGTTCATTCCACTTCCGCCCCCCAAATAGTCACAGATCTGGAGAAGGGCGGGATGGTGATGGGGTTGCCTCCAAGCCTAGGCTGAGAGAGGGAGCAGTGAAAGGAGGGGCGGTCGGGACACAATAGCCTTTTATTGAGCCCCTCCCCGCGGCGGGGCGCCGAGTTGGGTGGCGCGGCGGTCTCTGCGCAGATCCTCCACGACCCGAGCGCCAGGCTCCGGTGGCACGGGCTCCGGGGGCGGGTCACTTCGGGACTGTGCCTGGGAAAGAAAATTCGGTGAGCAGGCGCTCCAAAGAAACAAAGTAACTCCGAACCCCAGCTCACCCCTTTCCCCCAGCCACGTGGATTTCTCCTCCACTTTCCCACCCAACCTTGTCGTCCAAAGCCCCAGAGGAATGGGAGGCGGGAAAGAAAATGTCCTTTTGCACGCGCGCTAGGGGGCGCTCCTCTCCCGCTGGGAGTTGGGAAGCACTTAAAAGGAGTAAGGGCTACAAGCGGTCCCTGCTGCACCTGGGAGGACAATCACGGAGGACGGGACAGGAGAGTACTAGCCAGGCCCCGCCAGGCCCCTCAGGCCACACTCACCTTCCGGCCGATCCGGCCGCTCTTCCTCGGGCCCTGCGCTGCCCTCTTCCCCGTCCAATGCCACCTCCTCATCCTCTTCCTCCCGGGAAGCGCCTGGGTCGAACGCAGGCCTCCTGAGCTGGAGTCTCTGCTTCTCTGGCCTTCATGCCTGGCCCGAACCCCACCCAGAGGGTCTGGACGCCAGTCCCAGAGGCCTGCTGCCCCCTCCCATCCTCGCCCCCTCACCCGGCTGGAAGTCGATGGTCCTCAGCATTTCGGCCACGTGCTCCACGCTCACGGTGAATTGCTCCATGCTTTCATAGCCCGGCTCTGGCCGTCCTGCCAGCTCCACCTTCGACATCGTCCCGACCCTGCGGGGCGGTGGCAGCGGCTCATCTGGAAACGCCTCAGCACCCTCACCTGCCTCCCCATGGCAGTGGAGCCCGGCCCCTTTCTCCCCCTTCCCGCTCCGCCTACTCACTTATTGATCAGCTCCTTGGCCTGCTGCAGGGAAGAAAGGAGGGTGAGAGTAAGCACTGTGCCAACCTCTGGCAAAGTCCCATTTCTGATGCCCACCACAGTCCTGCGCAGTAGGTGGGGATGTATGTCCCAATTCCTTAAGGAGAAAAGGGCCTTAGAGACGGTGACTTGACCCAACATCCTGGGGCAAACAGGAACCAGAGATAAGACTCAAACCCAGGTCTCCAGGTGCCCAGATCCCCACTCCAGCTACTATGCAGCCTGCCACCCTCCCCCAGGGCCCACCTGCAGGTAGAGCGCCATTTGTGGCTCCTCCATAGACTGGATGGCGGACTCGACGAGCTTAGAGGAGGCCTCCAGGTGGTCCCCGTACTGGCGGATGAGTCCCCGAACCCGCTGCAGCTTCTCCTCCTGCTCCTTGGCCAGTGCCTGCAGCAGCTCACCCTTACGCTCTTCCAGCACTGAGCACAGGGCCTCGAACCTCTGATTTAGCAGCTGCTTCTGCCTCCTGCTGTTGTCCTGAAAGACCGGAGCAAGGATGAGACCTCATAGCTGAGGGAGCACCCAGTTACTTGTCCCACTTCTCACTAAATAGGAAGTCACAGATAGCCAGGAAGAAAAGTGACCTGTTAATTACACCACAAGTTAGTGGCAGAGCCAGAACTCCAGCTAAGGACTGCTCATTCCCAGATTGTTTCAGTAATAGTAATAACACGATTTTTTTATTGAAGTATAATTGACATACATTAGTTTCACGTGTAGAATGTAATGATTCAATATTTGTATATATCGTGAAATGATCACTACAATATGTCTAGTTAACATCAGTCACCATACACAGTTATAAAATTTTTTTTCTTGTGATAAAAACTTTTAAGATCTACTCTCTTTGCAGATAACAAGATATTTTAAACTAGCTTCGTAAGTGCTGTTTATATCTCTGGCCCTGGTTTTTACTTGTAATATCTCATTTAATTCTCAAAAAGATCCAGTGAGGTAGCTACCATATCATTCTCATTATCATTATTTTATGTAATTAAAAAAAAAAAACAAAGCACAGAGAAGTTAAGTAACTGGACCAAAGTCACAGAGCTAGTGAGGAGAAGAGCTGGGATTCAAATCTGCAGCCTGGCTAAGCACATCCCACTACTTGTGATCTATTTCCGGGAGCCCAGAAACTTTCCCTCCCACACATCCCAGGCTCACCTCGATGGTCTGGCACACTTCCTCCATCTGTGTGATCACTGCTTGCACACGATCATTGCCTGCCACCAACATCGCGATGCCATCACTGAGCTCAGTCTGTCACACACACAGGCCAGCAGTTAGGGCTGGAGGACCTGGTCTGCAGCTGCACCCCTCCCACTCCAGCCAGGGCTGCTGAGGAGAGGGCTGCTTCCTCGACTCCACCATCAGGGCATCTTCAGGGCAGCTATTCCAGAGATCTAGAGGGCTTAGAACCATCCAAGAAATATGGAAGCACATTGTATGGATTTTGGAAGGAGGTGGAGAAAGGAAGTCCTTCACCACCGAATGAGAAAGGAAGAGACATTCACCAAATATCCAGCCAATGCCAGGACTGGGCTAGATGCTTTTTCTGTAGATTCCTGTCTTCCATCAATTCTGAAACATTCTTCTTGATTATCTGTTAGGAGAATATTGCCTCTTCTCCATTCTCTTTATTCTCTCATTCTGTGACTCCGATTAGCTTTACGTTAGACTTTCTCATTCTCAATCTTCTCATCTCCCAGTGCTGCATTCTGGGTTTTTTTTTTTTTTCCAGTCCTCTCTTCCTGTTCACTAATTCTTCAGAGAAATCTCTCATTTAATTCATCCTTTGAATGTTTTATTTCAACATATATTTTCATTTCTAAAACCTCTATTTGGTTCTTTGTCAAAATCTGCATTTTTGATAGTCTATTCTTGCTTTCTTAAAAATTCTGTCTTTTTAGGACAAAATCATCCCATTCGCAACAACATGGATGGACCTTGAGGGTAGTATGTTAAGCGAAATAAGCCAGACAGAGAAAGACGAACTCTGTATGACTCCACTCATAGGTGGAAGTTAACATATAGACAAGGAGAACTGATCGGTGGTTACCAGGGGAAAGGGGTGGGGGTGGGGTGAGGACACAAAGGGTGAAGTGGTGCACCTACAACATGACTAACAATAATGTACAACTGAAATTTCACAAGGTTGTAAACTATCATAATCTTAACAAAAAAAAATTCTGCCTTTTTAAAAGAGCATTTTATACACAGTGACTTTCTATTCTTTAATAATTCCAATATCTGAATTCCTCAGAGGTCTAAATCTATAATTTTTGTTTCTGCTGACTTCACTCATGAGGTACATTTCTTTGTGTATCTTCAATTGTGAGCTAAATTTTATGTTGTTCTTAATCTAAGGAAAACCCAAGGGCCTAAATTGAGGGCTTTTGCCTCCAGGCAGAATTTGCATTTGCCTTGTCAAAAGCCAGGTGGCACAACGGACAACTTTAGTCCCTGGGACTCCAGTTTAACCAGGATTCTTGGGCATCTTCACTGCAGGCCCCCTACTTTTAGGGCTTTGGAGACATAGTCTCATCTTTCTAGCCCAGTAGTACTGCCAGCATTTGCCCTCTTGGAAAGCCTGCCTTTTCTGTGCTTACCACAGGTTCTGTTCTTAGCTCACTCTCCCCTCCTCCTCTCCCTACCCTACCCCTACTTGGATATTTCCTTTACTTCCTATGTGCCTACCAATACAATTTTTAAGTTACATTTTATGTAGAATCTAGTTGTGTGATAGTGAGAGGGCCTTGAGAGTGTCTGTTCCACCATACCGAAGTCTCTGCTTGCATCCATTATCTCCTTTTATCCTTACGACTCTCAGAAGTAGGCATTTTCATCCTCATTTTACAAGTGAGGAAAGTAAGCACCAGAGAGGTCAAGTTACTTACCCAAGGTCACACACTGAGTCACACATAGAGCTGGGACTTTAGCTCTGATCTGCCTACCTTTAAAACCAAGTGGAGTAAGAGGCTGAGTTTGAGACCCTGTCCTATGTCCCCGCCCCAACATGCCTGCTCCCTCTGCTGCTTGATACCTTCTGGCGTTTATAAATGGTGGGCAGTGGGGCCACCTCACAGTCCTTGTGGGCACCGAAGACCTTGCAGAGAGAGCAAGTGGGCACTTCACAGCTCAGGCAGTAGATATTGATCTTCTCATCTTCATGCTCCTCACACATGAGGTGCTGTTCAGCCTTGGAGTGTAGTGGCCTGGAGGGAGGTGGGCAAGAAGGCAGGAGGGTCAGGGTCCAGGCCGGGGTGGGCCCAGAGAGTGGGGGAGTCCCATGATCACCTTCTCTTCAGCCTCCATCAACCATCACCACCACCTTCTCTGCCCCTGCAGCTAGTGCTATGGCTTGGCAGGTGAGTGACTTCCATGGTGCTCTTCATTTGAGGAACAGAAAGAGCTAAGGGATAGAGGAGGCTTAGATCCAAGAATAGTCTCTATTCTAGGAGGCAGGGAAGTCCCACAGGGCAGGAAGTCATGGAGGGTTGGCAAGGCTCTTGCTGGTGGACCGCCAGCCCCTCCCCAGATGGAGAGAGTGAAGGTGGAGCACTGACCAGGAATCAGAGATCACCTAAGCTGGGTGACCTGGGCAAGTCCCTCCCCATCTTTGGGTCCAGTCTTCTTATCTCTAAACTGAAGGGGCAGGTTGATTATTTCAGCCCCTCCCTTCTGGTCCTGATGGTTCCCCTGGCTGTGTTCCCAGCCCCGCCCTTTAGAGAGACAAGAGGCCCTGACAGCTCACCGGGAAGACTCCTGCTTATAAATGTCAATAATGTTCTCCACTAGCAGGTTTCGCTGCAGGCCATAGACACCATGTCGGTCCAGGACAACTTCATGCCTGCAAGATGGGCAGCGGAAACGACCTCCTGAAGACACAGTGGT